TCATATTAAATTGAATAAATGACTATAAAAAAATTATATAGTTGTTAGATTACACTTTTTTTGTGGTGTGAGTATGATAATTTCTATAAGCATATTGGTGTGTGTGTGTGAGCCCTTGCATTTAACATTTATATTTTAACCACCTCTAAAAAATTGTGTGGGTCGTGAGTCATTGGCATTGTTATTTTAGTGGTCGTGGGCTGAAAAGTTTGGGAACCCTTGAGCTAGTGTGTTCCAAAACAGTGACAATTTACATTTATAAGACGTAAAAATGATAGAAACATGTAACGCTCCACTGAAATCGATTAACAATTTTTTTTACATCAACTCATACTGGTTTCTCTTGACCAATCATATACTCTCTAGCATGACATGTCTCACTCCCTTTTACATCGCTTCTCATTTTATGCACCTGAGCTCAACCAGTTAAGTTGCAGAAAGTCATTCACAAAGTGCAAGATGATGGCTACTTGAAATGCTTTATGTTATGTGAGACAGTGATATGCTTTTACGTAATTATTTGAAATGTAACCTGCACTAAACATCTTCAAAAGTCTGTGATGGAAACTGTATAATGTTATAAAACAAAAGAGAAGAGATTATAAATAAGACATTTTTTATTTTAATAAATGAAACACTCTGCTTAATGTTTTAAACTGTGCAGAAAGGAAGATTCAATATGCCAGAACCAACAATGCTAAAGGCCTCTGTCAGAGCAAACCTGGGCTCATAACACCTGAGCAGTGCCACAGATATGCAAGACTCACATCTTGAATGGAATAAGTAAAATAAATCAACTTCATGAAGATATTCTAATTATATGACCAGCACCTTTATGTAAGTTTGACACCCAGTGGTTTAACTAGGTATAGGTTGCAAGATTGATGACATCCTCAAACAGACATCTCTACAGACTGATGGCTCCAGCTGAACCCACTGATCTGAATCAGCAATGTCAACCCAAGACTGACACATTGGGAGCGATTGAAGGTTTTGTCCTGATGGTTTGGAAACTTTTAGTCTGAAGTGAATGCCAGAATTTTTTTTTAGAAAAATATCTCACATAAAAAGGAAGTGGAAGACTATAGGCTCTAATTTAAAGGTGCAGAACGTAAGTTTGACATCCAGTGGTTGAACTAGGTATTGCACCCCAGGATCAAAACACATTTTCACTCGGCTCCTCCTCTGACGACTCCACACAAGTGGAGGTTGCCAGATTGAGAACATCAAAAGGAGTGTGCCTGAATAAAGGGCTCATAGGCAGATTTAAGGCTGATTTAAACGGGGTTCTAACTAAAAGCAATGGCATGCGATAGAAGGAATCTTTTCCATATAAAAAGGACTTTTTGTCCTAGCCAAACCTGAAAATTCAATTTAATTCTATTTATTCTATTTCCTTGCCGCTGAACAACAGAAAAACTGACAATGATCACCTCAGGTACACCTTAGTTGCTTTATTAAGTGTTAATTGCTTATGGCATGAGTTTGAATGCCAATTTACATGACGCTTATTGCCATAATACTGAAAGCAGCGGCGGATAATTCACTTCAGATCTTCAAAATAAATTGTTTGAATATAAAAGTCTGAACTGTTACTAAGGCCGTACTCACACTTTGTACAGTTGCCTCGAACTGGGCCAAAGCACGCTTGTCCCCCCTCCCGTCTCCCCCGATGGCCCGCACTCACACCACAAACGGGCCTCGGCACACTTACGTCATCGCTGCTGCACTGTTCAGTGAGAAGCGCTCTCACTCAGCATCACAGTGGAGATTTCTCTAGTTATATTGTTTCAGTTGTTTGATATGCATTGATATGCAGTCAAATATTTCACCAAAAGTCCTTAGGAATGCGGGGACACGCAGTCAGTTATTTCGCCGAACAGATCCGCCACTTTTGGCGCTCATAAACAATCATAATGCTCTCGTGCTGCAGGAATGAGGAGGTCTGATGAAGGTGCGCAGCTGTCGTGCTGTGAGGAGTTTGCGTCTTTAATAAACTACGGCAGTTTGCGTTCACTGAACAGTAAGAATGATTAATAAATCCATATCAAACAGTCCCTTAAAAGTCACATCTCGCTTTCAGTTTTGGGCTTTGCCACGTTTTGCACTCACACACAAGTGTACCACGCCAAAGCCCAAGCGAACCACGCTCATGCCCACCTCTTCCAACCGGGCCAGGGCCGGCCAAGTGAACCGTACTTGAGCCCGATTCAGCGCACTGGGCATGGTACGGATGGCATAGTGTGAGTAGGCCCTAAGTGCAAACCAACAACAGTAGTCACTGAAAAGCCTTTAAAAAGGTTAACAACCTTTAATAGGTATTATTTAGTTTAAAAGTTATTTAGTTAAAAAAAATTTATTGAGCTCCCGCCTGACTGATCAGAGCGCACTGGCACGGTGTCCTAACTTTGCACGATACGCGCCGCGGCACGCAATAAAAGCTATCTTTTTGGAGTTAGTAGTTTCTGTGCCAACCGTCGGCGACAGTGATGCGTGACATTTCATTTTTAGACACCGCTTCTATTTCTGCGACATCGCGGCAGAATACGTGATTAAGTTGTGTTGCATGATTTGTGAGGACATGGTGTGAGGCACTTGACCAATCAGTGCACACAGCTGCCTCCTGACCAATCAGAGCACCCCGGGCCCGCCGACCAATCAAGAGAGTACATCAGCTATATTTATACTATACAGTCATTGTTCGAAACACCTGGTCACATGACTAAAGCGATTCAAAGCATCGCACATTTCAGAAGCGTTTTGAGACCTGGCGAATCTGCGTTTGACTGACAGAGTCAGAAAAAGTTTCTGTCTCAAATAGTCTAGTGGACCGTGCATGTGCACGATGTTAGAGTGCTTCAAATGGCTTTTAGGTTCGAATCCCGACTTGTACAAATACTCCGAAATCATGATTTTCTGTATTTTAATAATGTTACTGTTTTATGGTGTAGTTTTAATCACTGTAAAACAATAATTAATATTTTTACTGTACTGTGATGGTTGGGTTTAGGGTTTGTGTAGACGTTAATAAAATACAATTAATGGGAAATTTAATAAATAGTATAAATAATTCTTGTTAACTTCCGGCTACAACCGTGTCTGATTTAGCAACAATCCTGTTTTATGACCAAAACAAGACATATTTGTTCACAAAGTTTTCATTCAGATGTCAGACCAATGTCGAAACAAAATGATGCAAGAACAAAGCACTATTTTCTAAACAAATGTGCATGTCTGTGTTTATCATTCCATCGAATTAAACACAAATAAGACACATACAGTATACTCCGTGTATTTGAAGAAGCAGTCAATGCTTGAAATTAGGCTATGGGTCACCTTTAAACTTAAATAGGCTTTTAATAACGGATATAAATGAAAGATAAATAACAAAAGCAAAAGAGAATCTTGCAGGAGTGCTGTCTCAAATGATCAATGATTGTGTAATACCGCAACACCTTTTATTTCAAAACATTTGAGCTGGTTTCAGCGCTTAGTTCTTTAATTTTCTTTTTCATTTGTTTCATTTTTAAAAATTAACAAAAAATAAAAAAGGTAATGTAATTGTAAAAATAATGAAATATTAAGTTGGTAATATAATTCAATAATAATTTCAACTCATTAGACATGGGAGAAAAAGTAAAACACCATGTGAAAAATAAAAATATGGATTTACAGATGTTTCAGTAAAATACATATATATTTTTTTTATTCTGTAAACTATGCCATTTATTTCAATTTAAAGATAAAAATGCCATTTAAAGATGATTGTTCTTGCATAAAATAATAAGAATTTTATGTCTCGCACATGTTTAATTTCATTTAGACAACACGATGCCAATGTTTTAACCAGAAGAGCTAAACAAATCTGGATTAACTCAGATTTTTGATCACAGCAGTTTGTTATACATCATTTGCTAAGGTGAGCAATTATTAATAATAATAATGATGTCACGCAAATGACAAAGATTATTTTTAAAAATGTTAATGAACAGGGTAATACAATTTTTTTTATTTACTCAAATGAATCCAAAGGCAGTAAATCCAGAGAAACAAAGTTGTCACCTGGTCTCTTTATTTTAAATAGCTGTACATATATAACAACATCATATATGGCGTTAAAATGTACGTATTGTATCAATATGCTAACAACGTTTATGAAACGGAATGCTAACATTTTATGTAAATGTTATAAAAATACACCAGGAAAAAAAACATTTAAGCAAAATAAAAATATAACATCATAAAAGAGTGATAGTTTAATGATTAACTACTAAAGAGACCGTGAATATAGTGAAAGTCCCTGGCTTATAGATTGTATCATTTAGAGGCCACTAGTTAATTTCCCTTCTTATAAAGTATTGTATTAATGAATGCCTCCTTTTGGAATGTCCTCATAGCACGTGATGGAATCTGAAATGTAATGGTACTGAAATTCATTTAATTCAGGAATCTACACAGCCATAGTTCTTCGTAGCGGTACTATTGCCATGACAACCAAAACGTGCCTCCCTTCTCGAGTCATCATACCGCAGGCAGGCGCTCGCTCTATTTCAGTCAACTGACGGTGATGAGCTCTGCATAAATAAATCTGATATTCATGCTGGCACGCAGTTAATACTTTAGTCTGTTACTTTTGTTTTATTATTACCAACATCAAACAAATTAATCTACACTTCCCGGTTAAAAATACATCTTTGTTACCTCAGTTTCCATGCTAAATAGCCGACAGTAACTTCAGAAATGCTCTGCGCTGTGTGTTTGTTTTGGTTGTGCGTGATTCTCGCTATTGTGTTGTGAATTTTAAACAGACACTGTACGCTGAACATGTCGCACTGCGAAGCCTCGATATTGTTTTGATACTCGGAACAAGAGAAAGGGGGTGTGGGACGCGCGCCGCAGGACGCATGCTCGGCTCGCTCCTCTCTTCATCCGGGTACCTGCCGTTGACTGTGTGGGTACGGAGGCGGGAAATGGCGTCCAGAGGTGCGGGGAGGACAGAGGTGAACCTCAACTGAAGAGGCACGCAAACAACCGCAAGTGACAACAGCCCGAAAATCGACTTTTATCCCGCAACTCGATCCCCAGGAGCTTTGTGCAGTAAGTTATATTACCACTATTATGTTTTGCATGTGGTGATTGGGTTCCCCCATAATATCTCGTCCGTTCGCTCCGGTTGGAAATGTTTCGCTGTGGTTCGCCTCGCCACTGTATTCGCCCGGACAGGCAGCTGCCGTGGTTCCCGCGCTTTCTCTGTCATCATTAGAACGCTGCCGGTTGTTTTGAGTGGCGCGAGAAGCTGCTTCAAGTAATAGCGGGTCACGAGAGGCAGGTCTCCTACGGAGAGAAAGCCTGCATGTGTCCTACATTGAAGACAGACATGCACAGATGTGTCAGGACCGTTTACTGTATGTAAAAATACATCTCACGTTTTCGGCTCGTGGGCAGTGATTGTGTAAATCATTATTATTAACGTCTGACCTAAACGGGCAAATCGAGGGAAAGTTGCTCGTCTTCCGTACATAATGTGTTTGGCGTGTGTTTCCCGCCCACCGCGACACTGTGTTCAGTTTTCACAGCGACTGAACTTCATTTCTGAAGTGTCTGATGAGGTTGTTTGGTTATCTTGGTGCTGCGCTTATTGTCTTTTGTTTTCCACCTTTTGGAGTTATTGACTAGTTATTTGACTGTAGGACAGTGGTTCACAAGCATTGTCACTCCAAAGGTCCCCATTGTCAAGTCAGTATTGAAGGCCCCCGCACAGAGCCAGATTTTACAACTATATATATTTATTTTTAGAAACTGTTAATAGATAATGAAAATAGAGTAATAATCTCAAGATTTGTGTATGTTTTAAACATAGGAAGCTGGATTTAAACTACTAGGCTGTAGTATAAAAATTCAGATTTTATAACCAATATTTGATTAACTTTCTGCTCATCTATCTTATGATTTTGTAAAAGACAAAATGGTAAGTTCAACCACTTTTGGACAGCTGACCACAGTTTTCAAGTGGAGTATTGAAAAAAGCACTGTTCAAATACAATTGTCTATATGAAGGTTCAGCAATGTGCTGAAAAAAAATCAGAAAATTCCTGAACTGCAAACTACACAGCTTTAAAAAATGGGTTTTGATTAAATAATGTTAAATTGGAGTGGTTGTTTTTTTGGTCAATAATAATATCTTGTTATTATTTACATAATAATAAAATATTTTTGGTACCAAAATGTGAATGTACTAAAACAAATTAAACAACTTAAATGAATTAATGCAAGCTAAAAAAAGTCTGATAATGTAAAAATGTCGGCTAATTTTAATTTTAATGATAAATAATGATATGTAAATATTATCAAAACAACTCTAATACAGTAAAAAATCACCTTCAAAAATGCTTGTAATGTAACAGACATTTTGTTGGTTTATTGAGGCCCTGGTTTGTTTGGGTTTCCAAAGTTTTTTTAGAGAACATCTAAGTTTAAAGAAAGAAGTTGTCTGAATTTGTTTGGTGGCTTGATGCAGCTCACCTAATCAAACATTTAGGATAGTTCATTTTGTCTTGTAAACACCTTTGACCTCCCATTGGTCCATGACCATTACGCAATCAGTGGGTGTGTTCTAGAACTCTGTCTTCTTTGATCCTCAATTTATTCCCCCTGAATTGTTTCTCATTCTACAGAGGTCAAACAGAACAACAGCCAAAATGTCAACATTAGCTACTTGAATACGTAGGAGTCGAGTAGCAGAGCTGGTACAGATGTATCTACACCTGTAAGATCGCTCGCAGGGGGGATTTTTAAGATTCTGAGCGTGTCATACACCAGATGAGAAGCCCAACTCTATGCACCATGTCTTTTTTTATGTGTTTGCACTAGGCATGGGTCGGTATAAGATTATGACAGTATGGTAACCTAGGATAAAAATACCAAAGTTTCACGGTATTGTGATTACTGCTCTATAATATATTATTTTTAAATGTCTAGGTAAAAAAAACTTTTTTTTGCCGTTGAAAACTGTAAATTCTATTTTTTGAAAGATTTATGATATTTTGGAGCAGTAAACATGTCAGGCTAAATAATTAAAATGAATCATTGAATCATTCATTTGTTTCAAAAACGCTGATTTCTTTACAATTTAAAACGGCATCTTTGGAGATCTTTTTTTTACTGGAGATACAAAAGAAAAAGAGCGTTTTGAAAAACAAAAAATGTAAATAAAAAAATCTTACACATACCTTAGGGAACGGTATTACAGAAAGTTTGGCTGTAAATAAACCTTGACTTTTCCAAACTGCGGTATACCCTGACAGAGATTATTGTCCCATGCCATTCGATGTCTGTCCTTGAAAACTGTAAAGATGCAATAGGCCATGGTGTTTCTTTTCGTTGTAGAGGTGTTTATGAAACTGTTCTTTTCTCTCAGACACCATCATTGTGTTTAGAGTAAACATCCAAGTAGTGCGACACATTTACAACCACACCTACTGCAGTGTAGGGGTCTTGGAGTGTTTGAAAACAGTATACTATTACTCAGCCTTTTCAATCCTCTGTTTGCCATCAAACGAAGAACCAAAAACAATTTGTCTGAAGTAGACCTGAGCCTGACATGGATTCTAACGATATGATAACCTTGGATAAAAATATCACGGTTTCATTGTATTGTGGTTGCTGCTCTAAAATAAGTTCTTTTTAAATGTCTAGGTAAAAAACTAAAACTTTTGAGAAACATTTATAATATTTTGGAGCAGTAAACATGTCAGGCTGAATAATTTAAATCAAATATTGACTTCTGCTGTCATCATTGGTTTCAAATACTAATATCTTTTCTACTGGAGATACTCTTGTCCTTTAAAACAACAACAAAAAAAGTAATTAATAAATCTTTTATATACCATAGGAACGCTATAACAGAAAATTTTGGTGGTTTTAAAACCTTGGCTTTTCCAAACTGCGGTATACCTTGAAAATGGTTATCGTCTCATGCCTAGTCAAAAGCATACTGGGGCCTTTAGAAGTTCACCAGTTATTGCCATCAGACCAGGTTGATTTAAAAATGGCTCTGGATGAGTTGTTTGCCTGACATGCAATGGGACAGATAACTTGTAAAGTGTCTGTGAATATTTTTTAGTGGTGTTTTTTTTTTTGACATACACTGAGTGAACCCCAAATTATTCAGCATTGCATTTTCTGGTTTATAATGTGCTTTGAGTGTATAGTTGTAGATTGCACAGAGATATTAGTCATTTTAATAAATTCCAGCATCAAACTGAGAAGACACAAGTAGCTTCAGGGATCAGTTTTTGGAAAGCTATCAGTGTCCTTGAATTTACTGCTAGTCTGTCAAGGCACATTTTTATTTTACACTTACATTGTTTATTGTATAATATTTTATTTAATAGTTGCCAAAATCAGATATTTTCCTGCTGATGAGACTGTTTATGTCTGCTTGTGTGATTTTTAAACTTGGAGTTTGCCTATTAAGAAGCCTCATTGGATCTCGCTGTGTTGTTTAAGGCTGTTGAATCTCGCTCTGCTTCAGTTCTTGCTGTAGAAAGACTGTAGCTCCTCAGTGTTGTGAGGTAGCTGTCTTGGCATGATGTCTGTTCGAGGCAGTGGATGAGTCACCATTTGTGGTGGTTAAGGAAAAAGCTGAGATGTATTACCAGCTGTAGCCTTTCTCTCTCTACTTTTCACCATTCCTTCTCTTCTCTAACATGCTTCCATGCAGAAAGTCTTGTTATTCTTGCTGCTTCTCTCTAGCTAATAACACACTGCAGCCTTTGCTGGGTGAGATCATTGTTCCTGTCCTAAAATGTAAAACCAAGAAATAGACATTTCTTATCATGGTCGGTGGAATTTTTTATGTGTGTGTGTGTGTGTTTAATGTATCTTGCATGTAATTACGGAGGCATTCCGGAGGGCTTGAAAATGTACAGCATTCTTCGCATTTTGTTAGATCTACAAAAGTTACTGGGAATCTGTTTTGAAAGACTAGAAAATGTGTAAAAAGAAGCTCAGAGTGGATGTGCATGCGAGTTAGATTTCTTTATGGTGAGTTTTGGGAAGAAACGTACAGTCAAGGTTGACTTAATGCCTGTAGGGTCACAAAAGCTGGAGCACATTTGTGGTCGGTGTTACGTAAGCACACTTTCAGGAGGGGTACACATGACAGTGCTGGTAGTTAATTTCAGGATTACTTTTCCCCCCTTGATGTGCAGGGTTGTCTTTAAAAAAGAGAGGGATACTTCCTCCACATGAGGAAAACATTAAGTCATGCTTTTTTTTCTTTCTTTCTCTTTTTTTTTTACCCCTGTCCTTTTTTCTTCTCTGCTCACGGTTGATCTGTAGTACTATCCTCACCTTTTTTTCTTTTTTTGTGACTTTTTGTACAACTGAAAATAAGAGGCAAAAGAGACTGACATTTTGCTGGCTTTTGCCAAAGTTCAAGTAGGTTTTAAACAGATAGAGCAGCTAAAAATATCTGTTTGCCCGTTCATTTCCTTTCCTTTCCAAAATAGGTCCTATGATTTCTGCAATGTTGAAAATTCAGATGAGACAATCATAAAAACAGTCGATCAAATTTGACAGGATGAGTACATTTAAAGGTACTTTTGTGCACCTTATTATATTTCCACCGACTGTTATTTGCAAATATTAAACTTGGAAGAGTGGCTCTGTGGCTCTTGCCATATACATCAATAGAAGCAGACATGGCAGAGGAAATAAACTGTGTCTGTTCAGAATTCTTCTATATGGGGGAAATAATGATGCGTTTGTTAATGTTGCGCGAGCTGTGCTGTGGAACTGCTTCAGCTGAATGATGGACCATGTTGGAGGATATGGTGTCTTGAACACATCCAGATGTCTGTGGCTAGAGGTCTTGGCTGAAGTGTTGCACTTTTAAAAATCGAACTAAACACCATAATTCATTCAAAACCATTAAAAGTGTGATTCATGTACATGTGTGTCTGTGAGAACCAGTAAGAACAGTTGAACTTCTCAAGGTCACTAAACAAAGTGATTTCCTCCTGTGTTACACACTTTTTCTATGCAGCTTTTTGTCTTTTCTTGGCATCCATGTGAGCTTCTCTGTTATGTTTTCCTTCTTTCTCCAGTCTTACATGTGACTCTTAACAAAATGAGGCTGAGAATGCGTAAGGATTCTCAGCAGCCGACCCTCGCCCGCAGGGCCTGTCCGGCCCGAACCAAGCGGAAGAGCTCAGAGGTGGAGGAGTGCACAGGTGAAAGCAAAGCCCTGTTGTCGAGCATCAAGAAGTTCATCCATGGCAGTTCCATCAAGGTGAGGCTCTTTCTTTCTTTTGTGCTGAGTTCATTGAGTGTGGCAGGCTGGTCTAGACCTCTACACCACGTTTCATGGTTTTAGTGATTGTGACCCAGAAGGTTCCCTAGACTGGAATGCAAGCAAGACCTGGTGTCATATTCCCTCTAGGAATACATGGTGGAATGCCGCTGCTTGTCTGAGGAGCTCGGTCCTGTTCTAATTTTAGCTGTGGTTCCACTGCACTCGCATAATAACAGTCAAAATGAAAGGCTGGCTTTAACAGGCACAGCCTGCCGCAGGAGAACTAGGGCTTCACATATCATGCCTGATAAAGGTACTAGATTCCCTTATTTGGGTTCTAGATCAGCTAATTTTGATTAGTGGCAGTGGTTATCATTTTTGAGGGGTTCTTCTGTATATTGTTAAGTGTCTGTACTTGCATAAAAATCAAGCAATTGCATCATGTAAGTCAGTACCGTTAGTGTACTTATTGTTCCCATGTAATTTTGCAATTTTGCTGATGTAATTCAGTTATGGTCAGAGCAATGTTTATTAGTATGGTTACTTTTGGGTGAGTTAATGGTTCATTTAGAACAGTGGTCCTCAACTGCCTGGCCCTGGACCGGTACCAGTCTGTGGATCAATTGGTATCGGGCCGCACAAGAAATCATTAATTATTTCCATTTTATTGTCTGAACGATCTTTTATTTTAAACATTTGTTTTTCTTTTTCTTTTTTTTCTCTTTCTTTGGAAAGTTTCTTTGCCAATGGGAAAAAAGGCCCATTAAAGAACATTTGTATGGAATATACACATTTCGGAAGACTCATTTTCTCATACAAACACAGAACACCCAAACAAAAAAATTGACAAGCATTGACCATATATGGTGATAATAAGGTTGGGGACCACTGATTTAGAACATGTACATGAAGACAGATAATTTAAAGGGGGTCTTTTATATTTCAAGCTATATTTCCAGTATTTGTGATGTTATTTTGACTGCTGCTTATTTATATTGATGTATAACATTACATTTAACCAAAATTCACATGGCTGAAATTTATTTGTAGATTTTTATTTTTTTTAATTAATTTGTTTATTGAATGTTTTTATTATTATTTATAAAAATTTTTTTTGAGAGATTGAGATGATTTGTTTAATTGCTTATCTCTCTTAACATTCTCTAACCTTGAATGTGCCTGTTGTTTTAAATTTTAGTCACACACTTTTGATTCAAATAACTAAACGTCTATAATTGCTCACTGAACCCAAACCCAGGTGTATAAAATCCAGAATCTCTCAAGCTTGCTTGATTGTTGGGTGTTTAATAGGTGGAGCAGGACAACCCAGCCAAGACAAGTCATTTGAGCTGTGAGCTGATCACCTCTACCCCACAGAGGAAGAATGACCTCCAGAGGAAGAGCATCTACAGGGCCCGCAGAAGAACCTCCATTAATGGAGGTGAGTCACTGTATATATGTGCTGTGGTGAAAATGGAGTCTGCGCAGGGACTGTCACTTTACTAAATTGTCAAGACTTTTAATACCAGTGAATGTTAGTTTTATGACCTGACTTTAGCCTTGCAATACAATTAACCCTTACACTTTTAAGCAATGCATGTGGTAATTTTGAAAATAACTGTGTGTACAAAAAATACATAGCCAGAAGATCCAAACATTTCCCCAATTGAATTTATATTTGCATCTTTTTTTGTGTGTGTGTGTGTGTGTGTGTGTGTGCGCGACAGAAATGGTTGCACTTGTCTAATATCACTGTCTCTCCTGTGTATTTCAGTAGTAATAAAAAGATGTGTACTAGTCAAATTTGCATAAATAGATTTTAAATGCTCTCTTCTGCATTTTCTTTCATTTCTGATGTTTCTCTTTTCGCATTTTTGTCCTGTAGAAACCACAAACCATGACACGAATAAGCCTAACGGGAAGCTAGAGGTCACCGAGGAGGTTGTGAGCAGTCCACCCCGCACCACTCTGCTTGGCACCATCTTCTCTCCTGTTTTCAACTTCTTCTCACCAGCAAATAAAAATGGTGAGAAATACTTGAAGCCAAAAATGATTTGCATGACAATTTTTGGTCTACCATGTTAACACTGCAAGAACTTTTATTTTTTTAGAATGTTTTAGTATGCATATATTTATTGATGTAACATTTACTTCAATCATCAATCCTGGCAAGGATGGGTGCATATACGCTCCCAATTTAAAAAATTTTGTCGGGGAATCACCATCTATAAGAATATTACTGTTTAACTTAGCAGCTTTTTAAATATAAATTATGTGGCTGCAAAGCTGAATAATCAGCAGCTATTACTCCAAACTTCAGACCTTTTGAAATCATTCCAGTGTTTCCTCTAGGATTTTTTTCCAGCTGTGGCGGCAGGCCTTTTTTTTTTTTTTTACAACGATCTATCAACTACCTGTGGAGTTATTTCTATGAAAAATGTCATGAGCGCAGTATTAAAAGTCGGGATCGCATTTATGTAATAGCCTACGAGCTACCTCTGTGCTTGCACGCCGATTTCCTCTGCTCGTGCACAAAACTTCTAGCCCGCCCCTCAAATATAAGCCGCTTCAAAAGCGCGCAGATCTTACGCTGCTGAGTGCGATTTAGCGCGTTTTTGTAACGAGAATGTCTCCAGGATTTATTAGATTTGCTAGGAATATTTATGAATGTCTCCAATAGACGAACAGAGTAGCGTTAATTCGTCCTGAAGTGAAGTGAAACGGCTATACGTCGTGTTTGCTGGCCTCACGCATCACGCACCTGTCAGCCAGCCAGTCAGTCAGTACGTCACCTTAAAGGGTAAACAAATGACACACAGCTCTACTATGGTTACAGAAAAGTTTGCGCTATTATAATTCACCTACCCTTTAAAACATTTTGGTGCGATTATTACCCGCTATAAAAAAAATTAAATGTTTTGAGTGAGAAGCTGTAATGTAGCCGTGGCGGGATGAATTTTGGCGTGGCGCCCCGCCATGGAAGAATGAATGCAACAGAAACCATGCATTCTAATGTAATTGTCTGAAATGTAAAAAACTGACCCCTAAAATTTTAATGGCAGTTCAGCCAGTTGTGTTGCTTTTGTACTTCTGTACATTTGTTCTTAAGTCTTAAACTTATTTCTTAGAGGAAAAAAAAACTTATCTATTTAAAGTTTTGTGGAAAATTAGAATAAATTCATTAGAATCATTCATTCAATCATTCATTTTTGGCTTAGTCCCTTTATTAATCCGGGGTCACCACAGCAGAATGAACCGCCAACTTATCTAGCATATGTAGCGGATGCCCTTCCAGCTGCAACCCATCAGTGGGAAACACCCATTAACTCTCATTCATTATGGCCAATTTAGTTTAATCAATTCACCTATACCACATGCCTTTGGACTTGTGGAGGAAAGCGGAGCATCCAGAGAAAACCCTTCTGAACAGAGGGAGAACATGCAAACTCCACACAGAAATGCCAACTGACCCAGCCGAGACTCGAACCAGTGACCTTCTTTCTGTGAGCCAATCGTGCTACACACTGACACCCAAAATGTGAATACTTTTTGTATAATTTTTTTTTATCATGGTGAAAAATGCCCTGAGGAAAATTTTATGCCTATGAGGACATGTTAGTCTCTGTTGCAAACAGGATAACAGGGTTGCTGTTTTGAATATTATTAACTTGACTGCTAGTTACTAGGCAACTATATTTCTTACCCATGCCAAAATGATTCAAAATTCAGTTAGTCACGTACTCCTCATGCATGCAACATTCGGTACATTTTCAAAATATGATTGCCATTAGAAATAACTATAATTGACCATAGCAGAAACTTATGCTGCTTCCTGATTTAGTTAATCATCTTACCCAGCATCTTTTTTATCTCGTCTTGTGTTGCTAGCCTCAAATTCCCCAGACCAGGTGGTGGAGGCAGAAGAAATTGTGAAGCAGCTAGAAATGGAGCAAGTAGAAGAGATGCCCACCTGTACTGCCACATCTAGAGAGCCCTTAAGTGTCCCTCTGTATACCAGTGCCATGACCTCTGCCTTCAGACCTCCACCCACCGCTCATACACCTGAACAGGAGAGTGAAAACACTCCACACCCTGACCTGCCTCCTCTTACAGGTGTGAAAGACATGACTTTGCTTTGCTTCTCTATTGGATTATATACATCTTTCCATTTAAGCCTAAACTGATGTTGTTTGGCTTTGATTACACCTGGTATAAACATGTGGTTTTGTCAATCCAGTCACAAGTTGATAACACCAATGCCCAATCACAATTCTACCCCTTAGCCCTTCCCTTACCCCTTGTTTTGCGCATTCACATGTAGGGGTAGGGGTGGCCCAATTCTCTTTAGCTTGAAGGTGTAGGGCTAATGGGAAGGGCTAAATACCCCCTGAAACAGAGATTTTTCAGGACCACACTTAAAACCAAGGGGTAAGAATTTTCCAAAATACTCCAGCTACAACGGCAGCAAAGCTGCACACGGAAGTAAGGAGATGCACAAATTAATATTTTTGTTATTTCAAATTTTTACAACAAACAACCACATGTTTTAGTACAGTGAAAATGGCATTCGTGTTTTACCGTCATGCTTAAAAAGGAAAAAACGCTTAATCTCACCATCTATAATCCCTAATAACAACTCCTGTATTGTAGTTCCACAACAGAAAAGTGTAGTGGCTGGGAATGACTTTTTTACAGTGTCTGCTATAATGTTGAGGTTGTTTTGTGTGTTTGCATAGATGAATATGGCCACTGTGTAAATGCACAGTACAGTTACGATCTTATTGCCACATTATATCAATATGATAACATAATATCGTTGGCTTCAGTAGTTTCCTGAAGATAAATACAAAAAAAAAAAAAACTGGAATAACTACAGCAGTCACGATTGTCTGATCTTATATAAAGTAAGAGATGGCGATGACATATGATGACGCGTGCACTTGCTGTTGTGCTGTCCTAATTCTTAGGGGTAAATTTTGAAACCCTTCCCCTTCACCCCCTGTTTCAAGGGCGAAGGGGTAGGGGTACAAAAATAGAATTGGCATTGGGCCTAAGTATAGGTGTGAATAATTAAAGTTTTTTTTGTACAGTATGAAATTGAACAAGCTTTTATTTTTCAGCATTAGACTGAAAGGTCAAAGAATACTTACACCCACTAACAGGTCCTATGTCATCAGAAAAGTGGTTAAAAGTAAAAAGAGACTCATTTAAATGCCAGAAGCCTGTTTTACAAAGTCAGTTCTTTTGTTTTTTTGTTGTCGTTTTTTAAACCCAAGTAAGTTTACATTTAATTTAAGTAAACTTTTTTTTTTTTTTTTTTTGATCAAGAAGGTGGGTTGCCTTAAATCAAGTTTTGTCATCATGGTAACTTGAAACAACCATGGCACTTTCCGGTCCAGACTTAAACACAAACTCTATATCAAACACTGTAACAGAGACAGTTTGTATCACAGAAAGCATTTTCCTACATGAATTTAGCTGTATTTGGTTATTGACAATTTGATATGATCAAGGATAATTTAGTTTGTTCAAAATTAATCCAAGCGTTGTTGTCATAGTAACAGGTCTAGTGGCTTAAACTTGTTCTGAGCAGGCTTATTTTATATAAACATGATTAGATCATGATTAGATCATGTAATTTCAAGCAGAATTAATATCCATACTAAAAGTATGTACAAACTGCTGATATTTTTACAAGAGTAACCTATGGGTTATATAATAGGGATGGGATAATTCATGAATAAAACCTAAACTGTTCTTTCTATTGTCACAGTTCAGTATGTGGGAAAACCAAATGGTTCACAAAGGTTTTTTTTAATACTATTAGCAGAAGAGTAAGAGTTTGAGATGGTATCTGACTGAAATGTTTGTATATCCGATTAATACCTGCCATGTGTGTGCACACATCTCTCTGTCATGCCTGTTACTACTCAAACCTCCTCACTCAGCATTATGGCTGCTTGATGCAGCATACACGTCACTCATGCGTGCATGCGTGATTTTTCTTTTTTTTTTTTGTCAATTCTAAACCTACACTGCAATTCAGAGTTTGTTCATCTAGCTTCATGCAATGGGACGTGTATTAAACAAAAATATGTCTGTCTTGTCTACTTGTTATTCGATCAATCAAAACGCATCTACATACCAGGTGTAAACGGGGCCTTGACTCTCTTGAAGTAAAATGCACACATAGGTTTAAAAATCTCTTTACTGATGCTTAACTTTATGTACTAGACATATTTTAGATTTTTTTATATGTACTGTAAATTGTGTATATTTAAAAGTGCAATAAGCAAACATTTTCTGTGTTTGTACCAAACTAACATCATTGTAATTTATGTGTTGTTGTTTTTTCAGCTCCTGGCTCTCCTGCAACAGGGGGCTATGTGGATGCTTCTATCACTGTCCCAGCTGAAGGATCATATGAGGAGGAGTGGGAAGTGTTTGACCCGTGAGTTTCTATTTACTAAGTGTCTGTGCTCCACAGTAAGAGATGAACCACTAGTTCAGTCATTTGTTGAAATAAAACAGCAAGTACAAAATGGGTGAAAAACTACTGTTAAGCCAGTATTATTAAATCATTCTTTTTATCGGAAATTAAAATGTTTTATTTAGAGGTTTAACTGTTTTGTTTTAGAGTATCACCTGAAAGTATTGTGGATGTTTTTTTGTCTAGTTTATATTTGAAATATATTTTTATAACAATTTGTTAATTGTAAACTTTTTGTTATTTATTATGAGTTTTCTATGAAGATGCTGATTGCCATGAAGATAGCATTGATTCTGTCATTGTGTTAAATTAAATAAATGCGTGAACAAAAGTATGCAAACTGTGTCAGCAAAGCACCGCTTTCTAACTACTACTGTTTAACCCTCGTTCAAGTGGAATATTCATGATTGGTATTACAATTTAATATGGATTTTACCCCCTAAGATTCATTAATATTTATTTACTCTCATTAACGTTTGATTCTGTGCAGGAATTCATGTTTATATGTCTTTCAGGTATTTTTTCATCAAACATGTACCTCCACTAACAGAAGAGCAGCTAACTCGTAAACCTGCACTCCCTCTGAAGACACGAAGCACTCCTGAGTTCTCCCTGGTGCTTGACTTGGTCAGTAAAACATCGCATGAGACTGGTGTACTCACACTAGGCACAGTTAAATAGACCTGTGCCCGGGCTCAATTGCACGCGCAGCACAGAGCACTCACATTTGTTAAACAAACCGGCATATGGGGGTCAAATGCGCACAGGCAACTGTGCTGAAGCGCAGTTGTCCCCCTCCCCTCGCCCCCAACAGCTTGCACCAGCATTGCATCTTCACCCTCCGAACCTGAGCACGTTTGCGTCCTCGATGCGACTGTTCAGTTTAACAAGAGAAGTGCTCTGGCTCAACACTTTGGAGATTGCTTTAGTTATATCATTTTAGTTGTATGGGATGCAGTGACACGCAGTCAAATATTTTGCCGAACAGAATAGATCCACAACTTTTGATGCTCATAAACAATCATGAAGTCCTTGTGCTGCAGGTATTAGGAAGTTTGCTGAAGGTGCAGCTTACATGCAGTGGGAGGTTTTGCGTCTTTAATTAACTACGATAGTTTGTGTTCATTGAAAAGCAAGAATGATTAATAAATCCATATGAAACAGTCCCTTAAAAGCCATGTTGTGTCTACAGTTCCGGGCTTAGGCGCGCTTTGCACTCACACTCCAAGTGCACAACCGAACCGCACTTTATCACACCCCCTCCAACTGGTCCAGGGCCGGCCAACTAAACCACACCTGGGCCCGAATCAGAGCACTCACACTTGTCAAATGAAACTGAACATGAACATGAAACTAGCCCGGGCACGGTTTGGATAGCATAGTGCGAGTACACTCTTAATGCTTCTGCATGACTTTCATTGGGCATTCTTTTTTATTATTTTTTCCATTCCGCAGGATGAAACCCTTGTCCATTGTAGCTTGAATGAGCTGGATGATGCAGCACTAACCTTTCCTGTTCTCTTTCAAGATGTCATATACCAGGTAGAAATACAGGAATATGTGTTAATGCATTGCTTGTCAATAGTACACCACTAGAGGGAGGAGTCGAGTCATTTAAAAAAAACAACAACTCAGAGGTCCAGAGAACATGTTATCAAGTGTTTAGTGATTTGAAATGTGTAAAAATATGCAAGTATGAACAAATCTCATAGCAAATTTCTAACTGACAATATCTGCTAGGTTTATGTGCGATTGAGGCCATTTTTCAGAGAGTTCCTTGAAAGGATGTCTCAGATTTATGAGGTAAGCCTTCATCTGTTTTTCTCCAAATACCCTCTCATTCTTTTTCTATAAATAATCAGTGATATTACATTGAAAAGGTTTTGCCTTCGCTTTAGTTAACATATGTTCCTCATGGTGGACTACATTGTTGACTTTTTTTTTTTTTTTCCTAGATAATTCTCTTCACTGCCTCTAAGAAAGTTTATGCAGACAAGTTGCTGAACATTCTGGATCCGAGGAAACAGCTGGTGCGGTCTGTGAAGTTTCTTTTTTTTTTTTTTGTTAAGTTTTGTTTTAATTATTTTAATGACTTCTTTCTTGTTGCTTTTAAAAGTAAAACCAAGCTGTCTAGACTAATGTTGGTTTGTTATCATTTGTCTCCTTATTATTTTTGTCACATTTTGTCATAGATGTAAATGTAGTCTGGGTATCAGTTCAGTTGTTTAGTAACCTTGCCTCAGCTTTGTCACTGCTGTGCAGAGTTTCTCTGTAGGGTTTGGTTACAGTGAGTGATTGGGGTGGATGGAGAGCTTTGATCTCTGCCACATTTAAACTCCACACCATCCTCAGGTGTCGAGCCTTTGCTTCAAATGCATTATGGATTCCAGTCCAGGAGGTTTATTTTGTTCTTCTTTTATCTGTTTGTTTCTAGGCACCGATTATTTCGTGAGCACTGTGTCTGTGTGCAAGGAAACTACATTAAGGATCTGAATATCCTCGGACGGGATCTGTCCAAGACTATAATTATTGATAACTCACCACAAGCCTTTGCTTATCAGGTGAGCATACTGATCCCAAGCTGAAATAAACAAGCTTTATTATCAATCATCAGCTACGTGTGAACTCTTGAAACTAGAAAAAATTGTAATTATCCATGAATAATCATGTTCTGTGCACCACTAATTAAATGTATGAGTAAACATGTAATTGAGCGTGAATTGCAGGTCATTTAAAAATTACTTTTCATTTTTGGAAATTTTAGCAGTAAAGCCGCGGCCACACTAGTTTGTGCTTGTGAAGCTCTGTTGTACAGTACTGCAAAAAGGGGTGGGATAAAACAAAATGATTAGACGTTGATAAAGTGAGTGATTGCTCCATATTTCACATTTCTGTTCAGAGAGATCACGGTTTCATCTTTTATTGGTCTCACGCAATCATGTGATGTGATTTCACAGGTCAAAGTTCACCAAGCTTTAACTTTTGAACGAAGTGACATGCAAAGCTCATCACTTGCATTTCCAGTCTACCATTCATAGGCATGTGACTGTGGAAGACTAATGGATGAAAAAGTGCAGTGTGACTGGCTTAACACTTTAATCTATAATAAAGATGAATCCTCTCTCAAAAAAAATAATTCAGCAGCAACCCTCACCCAAAATAATTGCTGGACTTGATTAGTTATTTAGTAATAAAGCATTCATTTTCATTGATTATTTAAAGTTTAAATAAGTATACACCCTTTCAATGCGTTCATGTCATTGGCCCATGAACATTTCCTGCTCGTTAAGAAGAGCCAATTTAATCATAACTTAATGTTAAAACGGCAATCATAACATTATTTGTCAATACGTGGCTCTTTTTGGATTCTTGAAAGTAGTCAAGTCAAAGTCAAAAAGTCAAAGTCAGCTTTATTGTCAATTCAGCCACATGTACAAGACATACAGAGAATCGAAATTGCGTTACTCTCAGACCCAAGGTGCTTAACATTAATATAAAATATATATATAAAAAATAGTAGGGTTTAAGAAAAAAAGAAAATTTAGAAAATTTACAGTATATACATTGCACATAAATGTGGTCTAAGAAATATACATATGTAATAAAAAAATTGTAAACAATACAGTGACATTAAGGGCATATATCAATGAGTGCAAAGTAAACCAGAGTTGTGCAGATAAAAAACAGTATAGTGCAAAAAGAACTTGTAAACATGATAATTGTGATAAAGTGACAGTGACATATAGAGTAGAGCTTTGGCCTAAAATTAGGTCAGTGACTTGGCCCTTGGGTTACATAGAAAGGTTTATACAAAATTGTCTTATAAATATGTACAGAAAAACAGCTAAAATCAACAACTTTGGTCTTTCATTCACAGCTCTCCAATGGTATCCCTATTGAGAGCTGGTTTATGGACAGGAACGACAGTGAACTTCTGAAGCTGGTCCCTTTTTTGGAGAAACTGGTGGAATTGGTATGCTGTAATGAGCTCTTTGTTCCTTTCAGTTGGTCTCATTATGCCTTTTAACCTTTACCTTATTTAAACTGTAGTGAACGATTAAGGGAACAGCTTTCATTTGCTTAAATACACACATATATATATATATATATATATATATATATATATATATATATATATATATATATATATATATATTAAAAGTCTTGGAAAACACAGACACATTATGTTTTTTTATATGTGTATGTTCTATATTAAATAATCATAAATATTGTACTTTTTCCATTGTTATCCTTCCACAGAATGAGGATGTGCGACCACATGTCCGTGAACGGTTTCGGCTGCATGACCTCCTTCCTCCTGACTGAGTGCGCACAGTGGGACAGGACAGTAACAAAGACAACAAATGCAGACATACATTTTGCATTGAGTCATCATTGCCATTACTCTTGTAATGAACTTTTTTTATTTTTATTTTAATTTTCCCAAACTTTCATCAATATGACAACATAAAAAAAATTTGGCTCCCTTTTTTCGGCACTTTTTACCACCATCTGTGCAGACAGAGGAGTTTAAAATGTCATGTGTGGTCTCTTCAGTTGTTTCATCAAGTACAAAGTGAATGTGTAACAATAAGAAGAGAACAGGATCATGTTGTCTTTTTGTGCTCCAATGGGATTGGTTGACACTGTTGGGCTTTTGACCAATTTCATCAGGAATGGCCAGTAAGAAAAGCAAACTGAGAAGTTAGATCCTTGTGAGTGACTGTTCTGTCTCAATGTTTTCAGTATGCATTCCTCTCCATCAGTAAGTTTCGGTTGTTTACTTTAATGTTTTCTCAACTCCTAGCTTGCTTTGTTTGCCAAAACGTGTTCATTTTGGTCTGGTTTGAATATTGTTCTTAAATTCACAGCACAGTGGAATCATAATTGTTTTTAAATGTGGTGTAACAAAGAATGGTTTAAACCAGAGTGATGGCTGTTTCATTTGCAGTGACTAAATTCTTAAATTAGCTAAGATGTTTTCTGCGGCTTCTTGCTCTTGTCTCGCCACAGATATTTATTTACCTGAGGAGCTAACATCAAATTAGTTGTTAATTGGTAGTACCTCAAAACTATTCTATTACATTTTATACACAAAAATACTGTTTTTCTTTTTTTATTGTTTCATATTTAGCCTGTGTATTTTGATATTTTAATTTTTTATTACTGGTGTTCTTTAAAAAGATATCACCTTTTATGTTTTAGTAGTAGTGTTTTCCTGTTCAATTTTGGCATTAATGTAGCATTACCCAGAGCTAATCTGTTCTAAGTGCGCTGCAAAGTGAAAGATGTAGGGCTAGAGCCCTGTTTATTGCACCAGCATAACAGCAAGTCTCATCTCGTGGTTTAAACCGGACTGCCTGACCTTCTGGCTTTTCTTTTATACTGGGATTCTGGGGGAAACGTGTAGCTGTGTCAACAAGTATCTAGATGAATGTGTGTATCATAGTCTGGGGAGTAAGGGATAATAATTATACTGCAAAAATGATGATTCTTCCTCTCCGTTCTTGTCACATTTTCGATTCCACAGTTCTAGGTGAGAGGATTCATTGGGAAAGATAGAGAGAGAGTAAGAGCTGAAACTACAGTAGTGCCATCCAGGGTGAGTGAAGCAGGGCCAGGCTAGTTGTTTTCCCTTCTCTATGTTCTGCTCTGTAAATGGTTTTGTTTTGGTAATGAACACATTCGCCTTTCACTCGTGTAAAAGGTGCCGTTTTTGCTCTTTTGTGTTTACAGTGTGCTGTTGAAAAAATGGGTCAGTAATAGACAATCACTGATTACATCACTTGTCTGTTGAATTGTGACCCTTTCATAGTCATTTGTTTGCTGGATTTTCATGAATTCTTTTTTTTTTTTTATTGAGGCCTTTTAGTCAAACCTCTTGTATGCAGTAAAGAAAAGTGTTCTCATATAGTGTTTTTTAAATGAATTTTTAAATTGTAACTATTGAAAGATGTTCTTTCTGTAATGTTAAATATTCTGTGGTACTTCCCAATTAAAAGAGGAGAGGAAGGACAAATTCATAGTGTGATCCCAAGGATCCTGCTCTCTTTTGAAAGACTTTTTTTTTTGTTCTGTTTGACAGAACCTACAAACGCAGTGTTTAGATTTTTTTTGTCATAGCATAGACGTATTGGGCAATATTTAAACATACTTTTTTAAATGTTAAGAAATGTTACATAATAAGTAGCATTTGATTAGTGTCAAGTATTCCTTCCTACACTGAAGCAAAATAGCCACATAATGAGGAACTGATCGGCGTCCTTAGTCCAGAATAATAGTTTAGGTGTTGGGAGTCGGGTTACAACTTCCATTAGGCCCTGGCACTTTCTTACAGAGATTAAGAAATACTTTTGTATGATTGTCGAAGAGCAGTAGTGTAATAAGTGTAAAAACATGATGCAGAGGTTTGTTTCATATCATTGTAATGTGCATTACTTTTGTACAAAGCATATTGTACTAAAAACATGCAGCTTCATGGAAAAAAAACAGTTAAAGGAAAATCTTTTTGTATTTTTTATTATTTGTATTCCAAAAGGCATGTCATATCTATTTTTCAAAATGTATTCATTTTCAAATGTATTAATGCAGATCTAACATGTCGTCATTTTATTTTATTTTTTCCCCCGTTATTGTATCTTTTGTATGTAGTTGGCACAATCACTGAACATTCTCCGCATGTAAAAAGGCTGTTTCGTGAGAGTTGGAATTTTGATCAAGGCACTTTTTTGCAGATGAATGTTTCATTTTGTTTTCTTTTACACTCTTCCTCTTTGAAAGCCATATGGCTTGTGATTGTCCTTGAGCTGCATTGGAGAAACTCTAGGTCTAAATGTCATTTTCCTGAACATGATGTGTTATTTAAGATTGTTCATATAATGGAAATTAAGTCTTTGGAAAATTGCATGCTCTTTTATTTTAATGTTAGCTTATGTCAAAACAAACATGTTAGATACTTAAGAATGGATGGTTGTATTTCATGTCTTTTTCTGCTACTTCGTTTTACCATCAAATGGTATGTAACATCAAGGAGATTTTATGAATATGATCCTGCCTTGAATCAATTCTGTGTCACTTTGTCAGCATAAATGGCATCTTATTGATGGAGTCTCACAAACTTGAACTGAAAGCCTTAGATGTCATATGAATGAGAGCTGGATAAGATTAATGAATATACAACGAGTTCAGATCTAATTTTAGTTTGCCAAAAAAGTTGATGATCTTTTTTTCTTTTTTCTTTTTTTTTTAAGTTTTCATAAATCTTTTTTGTCAGGGCACAAAAAAAGAAATTGTGGAAATCAGTAGAGATACAATTGGACTTTTTATACACAATTTTGGGGATCCCACAATAATTTACAGGCTCTTAACGGTCACCAAAATAAAATCTTAAAAACATAATTTAATGGCTTCTTGCTTTTTTAATGGTGTATTTTTGTCAGTTAACCACTAGGTTAAATCTAAAAATGTCAAGAGATGTGGGAACCCTAAACTGTAAAAAACTTTAACTTGGTCGAACTCCTGATTTAACGTTTATTATTTGTAATGAATCTGTTTTCAGCTACAATTTGAAAATACTCATTAAAATTAAAGGTTGCAAAAATATTTTTTTTTTACACAGAGATGCTTTAAATACCTTTTTAGAGAAAGCAACAATTTTCATATTTAGCACTTTGAAGTTCTTTCTGACAGTTAAAAAAAAAAAAAAGTAATAGCTGTTGATTTCAAATCAGTACTCTACAACAATGAATCGGCCACAAATAAGCTAAAACTATAGGCCTCTCAACAGGCCCATGTGTAATTACACAAGCAGAAAATTCTGAAAATTATATTTGAGATATTTTTGTATAATTTTATATTTATGGTAGTTGTTGAACAATAGGTAAATGTAAAGATCTTTTGTGCACAATACAATTCTAAAGTCTTTTAGTGCAGTGGTTCTCAAAGTGGGGGTCGGGACCCCCCGAGGGGTCGCGGGACAATGAAGGGGGGGTCGCCTGGTGGTTTCCAAAAATCTATTTATTTTTTTTAAACCATAAGAATTACCATATTTTATCCATAACCTACTGAAGGTGGATCTACTCGTTTATACCATATATAGTTACTATAGTAGCTTATAGTTACTACTTCTATTAGATTGCAACCCCTGGGGTAATTACATTGTATTAAAGACACAGTAATAGCGTCAGATGCAGCAGATTTCATAACACCTGGTTAAACTTTGTGGCCCATTTACAGCTCTCATACATTAAAAAAATTAGGGTCCTTTGGTGTGTCTGCGCCATTGCATGCAAGGTTTCTGTATTTATATCCACCTCAGGGGATATTGGGGGTCGCGCGTCACTGGCATTGTCATTTTGGGGGTCGCGGCCTGAAAAGTTTGGGAACCCCTGTTTTAGTGGATGTATTATGGGATAGACCTGTAGCTTTATTTACCAAACAATGGTTATAATTGGTTTTACATTGTAAACCTTAAGATAACCTTAAAAGGTTTTAGCTCCTATGTTCAAAATCATTCTGCACAAGTCTCATCAGAATCAGATGTAAATTCATGTTTAAATTTATTTACTTTTTAAATTGAATTGTGGGACCTTGAGCTCTTGAATACAGTTTAAATAAACACTGAGGTGTTTCAATTTAAAATTGAGTAAAATATGGACAAAGCAACAGCAGAGTTACAATTTGACATCAAAATGACATTTTGTCCATATATTACTTAAATTGTGTTTGAAATCACCCAATATTTTAATCCAGTGTTAATACAGAAATTAAAAAAGTGAAAGAAGCTAATTAGTTACCCAGTCTTGTTTTGTAATTCAAAGACAATATATTGTTTTGTTTTTCCCAATAAATCGCTCGTTTAAATTTGCAACATCAAAAGTTGCTAGAGTAGCGATCAAAAGATCCCATTTGCTATAAAAATAGGAAATGGTAAAAACACTCTTGAATCACAAGAAAAGTCTAAGCGAAATTAACTTTTTACACTTGATTACTTTTTATAGTTCTTAAATTATTTGATCATCCAATATATTCGTCGATGCTGATTGTATAGCACCCAAAAATAAAAATGTCCACAACATTTAGACTACACTTACTAAACTTTTTCATAATTTTCAGAATGTTACCGATTAAAAAGACATTTTTGTGTGAACTATAGAAGCTTTTAAGTAGTTACACTTATAGATAAAGTGTAAGTGATTCGGATATTTTTTGGTCTGATTTGTCTTTACTTGTCTGATACAATCTTAATGAAATTAAATAGACACATCAGTTTTTATTTTCATATTTTCGTATAAATTATAATACGCTATAACAATGTGTAGCCTATTTGAGTTTATTTCATGCGTGCTGATGTGCTAAAGTGATCCTTTTACATCCACCCACCTGTGCTTACGTTTGTTTCTGGTTTCTACCGCTGTCACCGCGCAGGTGTTCATTACTGTGACAGAGATGCTGACAGTCAACACGACGTGTTAATATTTCAGCACTTTCAGTGGTGTCTCCGCTCCCAAATCCGTTCCGTGTGTTTCATGGCCTGTGTTTCGCACCTATTTTCTGCTGCCGTTTAATTAGGCGACTGATGCGGGATTAAGTTGCAGTGACAGGCAGCCGTGAAAGAGCAGACGGCTGAAATCCAGGAATCTCTACACACACAGGAGAAGGCTACCTTACAGAGCAAAGTTTCGCGCATTAGTATGTTAGATTTTTGACAGAAATGAAGTCTCAACCGACAGTGGTCATGCTTTTGTTAAACTAAAAACCCACCACAGCGACATCTGGATACTTGTAAAAATGCACCACGGAGGAATATTAATTTTGCTCACGTTTAGCATCATAATAGGTAAGAGTTTTTTGTTTATTACTTGGTTGCACTTTATTTTAAGATACAATTCTAGCTATTAATAAACCACTAAGTAAGACATTCAGCTCAAAAAACTTAATTTGCTGCTTATTGATGTTTATTAAGGTAATAATTGGGTTTTGATAATGGTTAGGATTAAGGGTGTAGAAAAATAAGATCATACTTATTGCATAAATATTAATGAAAACCAACATGTTAATAAGGCAGTGGTTAACAGTGGGAATTGATACTTTAACTAAACTGTTACCCCTTTATTTTACTTTTCCAATACATTACTATTGTCTTTTTCTACTTGTGCTTGTAAAACTTAAGATGCCCACCAGCTCTAAAAGGAGAATTTGTTTTATAATGTTTAAGGAATTCAAGAAAAGTTTTTACATTACAAGTCGAAGTTTATCCATTTTTAATGTAACTTAGATGTTAAAAAATAGTTTTTAGCTTGTAAATGCATAAACACAGACACTGTGACCATGTTTTATTCTTCTTCAAAGGGATTACATGTAGTGACTCCAGAAAATCGCACAAGATGAGCTCCAGCAGTGAGAATGAGTTTGAGAAGAACATGAAAGTCCTGATAGAGAACATCAGATCTCTGTCTAAAGAAGAAATGGGTGGAAAGACCCCACCAAACCTTCATCAGACCATGAGGAGAATGGCAGCCCCCAGTGAAAGAATCGCAATTGACAGTACAAACATAAATACATACCTAACAGTATTCAACAGTTTATTCACTGTATACCAGCCAATGCTGATTGACAGCTTTATTGAAACTCTCCCTCAGGCTTTAATTTGCATTTTGGCAGACAGACAGGGCTGTGGATGGCAAGCAGATTTAACAAGTACTGTTTCGTCTGCACTGAATGAACAGTTTGTTTCTGTGATCTCCTCTGTTAAAGCTCAAGCTTGCACTGCAACATCTAGTCTGAGAACGCAGGATTCCACCACAGCTCAGTTAAACTCTCTCCAGGAGACGCTGATGAATGTTTTGTCCTCAGACCTCCCACTTCAACTGCTGTCAGACAGCTTTTTAGCCTTTTGGAATAGTTTCATGGACATGGCAGTTCCACCTGCGATGTCTCTAATGTCTGATTTCCTCTTGAAAGCACTTCAGACCCCAGTGGATTTTTTAAACCTTGGATTACAGATTGGCATTAAGATCCCTAACTTAGACCAGAGTTCAACATGTCAACAAGGTGTGTAGTTACTTTAGATTTTTTTTTTAATATCCATGGGTAACTGCATTATTTCATACAATAATTGATTCTCTATGTTTTCTCCTTTTTTGTCCGCAGGTGATCTCAAACAGCTTATAATGTGGTATGTCTCTAGAATCCTGTATCTCTGTTAATACAATATAAATTAAAAAGAAACGGTCACACTTTATTTTGATAGTCCGTTTGTTGAATTTAAGTTACATTGCATCTACATACTAACTAAGTCTCATTAGATTATAAGTAGACTGTTAGGTTTGGATTAGGTTTAGGATAAATTGACATGCACTTACAAAGTACTTGCAAAGTTTCTTATAGTCAGTTGAATGTCTGTTGAAGGAGCAGTATCAGTAGATACTAAGCAGACAGTCCACTAATACTCAAATGAACCATCAAAATAAAGTGTTACCGAAGAAACTATTTCTCTGATTTCTGATGTAACAAGTAGCTATTTCTATTTGCATTTCACTATTAATGGAAGCCAGTTCACACTGCATAAATAGACACTAAACAGCAGAAATGTTAGTTTGGGTTTTGTTGGGTCAGTGTTTTACCTATGCTGACATTAATCTGTGCTTATTTTTAAAAGGTTGAATACATTGAATTAGTAATTGATAGCCAAGTCTTGGAATGTTTGACTAACTGTAATCTAGTCAATATTTATTGATGTCAGTCTGTTTGTGTGGTGTGAATTGGCTTTAAGGGCACACTCGCATTGGGTACAGTTACCTTGAACCGTGCCAAAGCGCGATTATCCCCCATCCTCTCTCCCCCTCAGCCTGCTCTCACATTGCTTTTTTACCTACCGGACCTGAGCACACTTACATCATCGATGATGAGACTGTTCAGTTTAACAGGTGGAGAAGTGCACTCGCTCTGCACAGTGGAGATTGCTTTAGTTATATCATTTTGTATTATTTTTAGTCGTGTGGCATCACTCAGTGTCTCTTTGCCAGACAGATCCACCACTTTTGAGGCTCATAAATAATCATAAATGTCCTCATGCTGCAGGTATTTGGAGGTTCCTGAAGGTGCAGCTGATGTGGAGCGAGGGGTTTGCGTCTTTAATGATATACAACAGTTTGCGGTTATTGAAAATTAAGAATGATTAAAAAATCCATATGAAACAGTCCCCTAAAAGTGACGTTACATCTTTAGTGTCAGGCTCAGACGCAATTTGCACTCTCACTACAAGCGTACCGCGCCAAAGCCCAAGTGCTTTGGCACACCTTTTCCAACCGGGCCAGGGCTGGCCAACTGAACTGCGCCTGACCCCGATTCCAAGCACTCACACTACTCAAACGAATCTGGAAATGTGCCTGGGCACGGTTTGACTAGCATAGTGTAAGTGCGCCCTAATTTACTATTTTGTCTATTTATTTCATGTCTTGTGTTTTTTGTGTGTGTGTGTTCAGGGGTATGAATCATAACGTGAGTTGGTCTTTTGGACAGTCACTTCTGGATTTGTTTTTGGCTCCTGCATATCCTTCTTGCAGTTTCACAAGTCTTGAATGCCAAGCGACAAGCAGCATCCAGTATATTCGTACTGGCACAACCTTAGTGGACATTTCGACTTCTAGTCTCACTTGTGATCAACAAAACTTCAACCAGCTCAATGAAACCCTTTGTGCATCAGTTTTATTGACAGCATCTCAGGAATCAAACACCCTTTATCAGATGTGTCAAGTGCTGAGCACGTTGTCTCGAACAGAAGTGGCCAATGTCTGGAGGAACATGTGTCGCATGGTCCAGAACATCACCTTACCTCTCATGGAGTCCTGCAGCGATCCTGCCACTGTAAAGTTAAGTCGTAGTGCACGGTCCACTCTGAGCCTCAACGAACTCCTCTGTGACTATAAGAATTGGACTGTGACTGGTTCTGTGGACCCTGCTCTGGTCACAATGTGCAGTGAAAACGATCGTGAGACATTCATCCTATCTGTGTGTAACAGTGCTGAAACCATGCAAGTGCTGATCAGACAGCCCAGCAATGCCTGGGTGTGGGAATTCTGTGCAAACATATCCGACATATACATTGTGAGCCTGTATTGTTCATATGACAGGTGGACTGTTGAAAACCTTGACCCGTCGATTGTGACGTACTGTTGGTATAATGACATGGACAGATTTGAAGTGTTATTATGCGACAGTGTAGCCTTTTTTATGGTTGTGTTTTCCAATGAAGAAAACAGCTGGCTGAAGCCCAATTGCTCTCAACATGTTCCTGATCAAATCGACACCAACGCCCTTGTGGCTCAGTATTGTAAATACTCGGAATGGAAAAACATTCGAGCTGTCACCTCTGAACAGATCGCTCTGTGTATCCAAAATGATGAGATTCGATTTGTTAACGTTGTGTGTGTTAACCAAACATTCGTCACTGTACTTGGGATGAGCATTGATACTGCTTGGGTGCACCAATATTGTACTTACTCTTTCAACAACCCCCCCACGTCTACACCGACAGTGAATACTGAAATGAGGTGTGACTATAACAATTGGATGAACATGTCTGTGGATCCGACAGTAGTCACTCTGTGCTGGCAGAACGACCAGATCGGCTTCCATAAGAACATCTGCTGCAATGTCCGCCTATATGAGAAGTTGTTTCTACATCCTGAAAACCAATGGCTGATTAGAGTGTGCTCTGATAATAACACTGCGAATGTGTTGTTGCAGGTTTGCACCTATTCAGACTGGAGCCAGCCTACTATTGTAGACATGACTGACCTTGCTTTCTGCGCTGATTATGACACTGAAAACTTCACTCGGAATGTATGTGTCAATGCTACAGTTCTGCAGAATTTGCTGGCCAATTTAGACAACACCTGGTTGTTGGAACAATGCTCAAACTTGACCTCATCTTACCCAGGTATTGTACCTGGGAAAGAGGGGGGACTCATAGGCTTCCGACCAGCTGAGCAATGTCAGTACTCCAGTTGGGATTTGGTGCTCCCGGACCCTGCTCTCCTCGCTCTTTGCTGGGACTATGACCAAGTCAACTTTGTCTTTTCTGTCTGCTCTGACTCTTCCTTGCTCTCCCACATCACTCAAGAGCCCTCCAACCTGTGGGTCGGCACTCTCTGTGTCACATACACACCTCCGCCTGTCTCCAGTGGAAATGGGAGCAATGCCACAACTCCCCAGTCTTGTCCAATAAGGGACTTGGCTAAGAAGCTAAACTGGACATGCAGCATAGACTTCAGTGTTGTCTGCCAACCAGGTGCCAGTCAAGCACAGGGTCTTCGGATGTTGTTGCGCTGCGGGATAGAAATGATCCAACCTCGCTTGGAGAAACTGATGACTACAGAAGTGACAGAAGTGATCAGGCAGGCCACCAGCCTGTGGGTTGTCCTGTTGTTGGCTCTTGAAGAAAGCCAGATGACCTCTCTGAGTGTATCGGAGAACATTCGGCTGAGTGTGCTGGAGTCAGTTGTGATCTACATGGAGAAGGAGACCAATTTTAACAACAGGCGTGTTGTTTTGCAGTGTTTTGGGGTTGGTATTTTTATTCACTGGTTACTCACCCAAAATAGTTTATATTATACTTAGTCTTTAACTTCTATTTTCTTAGAAAACATAATATCTATGTTTTTACTTATTTAGGTGTGACACAGTTAAAGGTTAGGGACAGTTTTGCTGGGATTGGTAGTTTTAAAGGTGGGTAAAAGGTTAGGGCTATACAGTGATCCCTCATAATTCGCGGGATTTACCTTCTAAACGTACCCTGCAATAGGCGAAATTAGTGAAATAGTCAGCTTTATTTTTTACAATTACTATAGATGTTTTAAGGCTGTAAAACCCCTCACTACATACCGTATACACTTTTCTCAGATAAGCATTAACATTTTCACACTTTTCTTTCTTGTTTAAACATTCTTGAAGCTCAAACCTTCATAAAAAATAAGTCCAGTATTATAGAATGAAGCCAAAGTTCATAACCAATTGTTCTTCATTTATTTTTTTCCGTAATGGCACCCTATACCTTTCTTAAGCATGTCCAGAGGTTCAACTTTTTGGGTGATGGTTAGCATCTTCCTCTGCCTTATGGGTGCTACCGCAGGTGCCTTTGACTGTGCAGAACATTTTGTTGACATTTTGGCCAGAAAACTTGCAAATATACAGTACAGCAGTTCAGAGTCACACTGCTAGCAATCAAAGATTTATGTAAACTTGGCAGGAGACACAGCACAGAGGAGATTGATTGACAGTGGTCTACAGCCAGTCAGGATGCACAACACTATGGGCTGTAGAAAAAAACATGTCAAATTGCATGAAAAAAATCCACGAAAATGCCAGGCCGTGAAAAGTGAACCGCTTTACAGCGAGGGATCACTGTACTCAAATGTAATCATAGATACTCGACTGTAAATATTTTATAAAATACTGTAAGGTATTAGGTTTTTTTATATTCTTTTTTTTTGTTCTTTATATACAATATGTGCAGTCAAATTATTCATTTATTCATTTTTCGTTCAGAAGTTGCCACAGCAGAATTTACCGCCTACTGTTCCAGCATATATTTTTATGTAGCAGATACACTTCCAGCCGCAACCCAGTACTGGAAATCAACCATATACACTCATTCACACACACACACACACACGCATACACTACGGCCCATTTAGTTAATCTAATTCACCTGTACCGCATGTCTATGAACTGTGGGGGAAACCATAGCACCTGGAGGAAACCTACATGGGGAGAACATGCAAACTCCATACAGAAATGCCAACTGGCTCAGCCAGAACTTGAACCAGCAACCTTCTTGCTGTGAGGCGACAGTGCTAACCACTGACCCACCATGCCGCTCTCAAATATTTAATTTAAATATAATTATATAGTAAAAGACACTTCATATGAGGTGGGTCCAACCAGTTTCCCATAAAAACGCTGAACTAGTTCATCTAATTATTAATAAAATATATCTCTTACCGGTTCCACCACTGTTTTGTAATTGACCCATGATATAAGGTGTTAGATGTGACACTGGATAATCAAACCTCTTCCTTTGCATGTAATATTAATTCTTAGTCATTTGATTTGTCTTTACATTGGTAGTGTGATACGAATACCTGATCTAAGTTGTTGTTTAGTGTTGAGAAGTCATTGAAATCCACATTTATAAACGCAACACTGACGACCCATGTTTCCGAACAATTTTTCTTCCACTTGTTTAAATTATGGTTGGCAACACAACGAGGCATCTCTCTGAAGCTTTATCATGCACATTAATGAAGTTGCATCTCATTCACAATAGAGCGCGATAATTGGTTCGAACCAAGTCTTTCTCATAATTTAATGCTGAAAACTCAAAGACGTTACGTTGTACCCGCTGGTACAGAATTCCAGTTCCATGCTGGAAATTACGCAACGATTTTATGGCCGTGACGCAGACTACTAGAACAAATTTGCTCGAAATAACACAAAAATAACTAGTATTCACTTTTAAGTGAAATGTATGTGTCCTAATAGTGTTTTTAGCATTGTGGGACACATATATGGCTTTCAACATCTCAAAAAATTGTGTTGGTGTTTTGTGACCCTTTAAATAATAACATGATATAAGCTTTAACACTTTCATGTGTTTCAGAAAGTTTTGACCAGTCTGATGCAAACAGGACGAGACGTGCTTACTAACTTTTTCCTGATTAAGGTTGGATTTATAACTTATCTTGCAGTTAACTTGCAATTTGCATGTTTAAATTAACTGGTTTTGTTCTGCTAATTATAACACATTAAATATTTGTCTTTCTGCATCCCTATTTGCACACAATATCGAGTATTATTTGCAGAATTTAGTGTTCAAGTAACAGCTGGAATTATTGTTCTCATTAACGGATTGCAGGAGTATTTCCGAATTCCTTTGCCTTATCTGAGATCAGTGCTCAGTGCAGCGGACATAATGATTGTAAAGGAGATTCTACAATACTATAATAGGAACTACGCCACTCTACAGGTAAAACATCTCTTCTCCGTACCACTGTAGCATTGCAAATTACACCAAAATCAAGGGAGTACAAATGATCAAACATGCTCTGATGTAATGTAGAGTCTTTCTTGTTTGAAGCTGTCAGATGATTACTTGCGAATCATGGTGTCCGTGCTTTTCCAAGTTCAACTGCCCAAGGATTTTAGCTTGTTCTCAGATATGGGTATTTTGTTGACTCTGGCTACACCTTCAGACATCATGTCAATGCCTCCACTACAAAACAATATCAACGCGTGAGTGACGCACACACCTTATGTTTGATTGATTAGCCTAGCCTTATAAATGTATATAATATATTATATTTAATCTAAATTATGGGTAAATATAATGTTAATATAATCATTTTATAATATTATAATATACTATTATAATGCTTTAAAGCAAATGAAGTCTAAACTCGGTCCTGTAGGGCTGGTGTCCTGCCGATTTTAGCCTTAACTTGACTGAACACACCTGCATGAATGTTTTTTAGAAAGCCTAGTAAGAGCTTGATTAGCTAGCCCAGGTGTGTCTGATGGGGTTGGAACTAAACTTTGCAGGACACTGGCTCTCCAGGACCGAGTTTGGACACCCCTGCCTTAGTGTTATTTATATGCTATTATTGTATTTATTAATATTTTTCAGTTTTCAATTAATTATAGATTCAGCAATTTTATTATGCTCTTTTTAGTTATTTATTTTTTATATATATATATTATATATTAAACCTATTTAATTAATTTTTATCTTAATTTTTGTCCAAATAAAAATTCATATTATTAAATATTATATTTAGTAAACCACAGAAAATTATTTAGGGATTTTAAATTCTCTCTGTTCCACATTTCTCCAGGTTAAACATGATCAACTTAAACATCAAAAACCTTTCCTTGGAGCAGCAGCAAGCATTTGGTCGATGGTTCAGTCAGTCCATAGGCTTGCTTAACATGACAGCCAGCAGCTTATCCTACATCAGAGACACTGGTAACCTGATCGCCTACCTGCCCTTCCAGAGCTTCCAGCACCTCTCACCTGCTCAGGTAACAGCCCCAACACCTCACAAAGACACCTGAACCCATCTGGCTCTGGTTAACCCTCAGGCAGCTCGGCTGGGGAAAATGCCAATGGTTCATTGTAGCAGACATGCCCTCGTAGTCTGTTTTCAATGAATAAACACAGAGATGCATGAATTATGGATGGCTGTGTAGTGGACAGTGACTAAGACTGTAGTGCTAACAAGATAATGACTTCTTCGCTCCTGTCCAAATAAACAAGACATTTCACAATTCACAAATTTAAGACAAACAAATGAAGACGTTGAATTACAACATCATATGACTGCAAGCTGTAGGTGATTTTTTTTTTTTTTGGAGGGGATGTTTGACACTACACCATTTGGTTTCTGTCAATGGTTTGGTTATTAGCTAATAGTCAAGGCAGTAAAACAGACTATTTCGTTAAATTTTTGTCTACAAATTTGTTAGATTATTTTTTCACCTATAATCTCAATAATGCAGCTTAGCAAAAAAAAGAAGTTCAAAGTTGCAGATTATAGTCAGATGCATGAAGAAATCCACGTACTGTTTAAATCAGGGGTGCCCAAACTTTTTCTTATAAAGGGCCAAAAAACAAACTTGATTGAGGATGGCGGGTCAAACGTAAATATATTACATTAAAGTTTCCATGGTAAATTCATTATTTATTAATATGTAAACTTAAATCCCATTTAGAACACAATGTCTTGTGCTTTATATATTAATATTATTATTATTAATATTATAATATAATAATATTATAATATTATAATCTATATAAGTAATAGTATTGACATTTTAGCAATAACAAATCTGATTGATTCAGAACATCATCAGAGGGAAGCAGTTCATAATGTGGAAACAACAAATGAGTTGGATCTTTCAGTATCCTTTTCACCTGATTAAGGACACAATTGTCATATAAAACTTGAGGATTAATATATCCATCGTGCCCCAATTTTACACCCTGTCTTTAAGAGGTCAACTTAGATTTACACTGTACAGATAGGTTGCCAAACCACACTCTGATACCATACCTAACAATGCTTTCAAGAACTGCTTTATAAAACCACATCAAAAGCAACAACATAAAGGACTTCATTTACTCACCCATGACTTGTTCCAAAAAGTTTTTTTTTGTTAGAAGATATTTTGTAGAATGATAACAATTCATTTTCGATTTAATTATCCTACAATGGATATCAATGGTTACTGGTTTCCAACATTTTTAAAATGGGGTATATGCAGAAGGACTTTTGGTATTCCATAAACCAGTTCAAGCGCTTCAGGTGAACTGTATACTGTTACAATTTAACCTCATTTAATATCTGTTTTCTTTAAAAATCAACAATCTCTACTGCCTGATGGATATACAATATAATGAGTGCCTCATAATGTACAAGAAGCTGCATTAAATTACATTTTCCACGCCATGTTTTTAAAATTCATTCATTCATTCTTATTCCCTTTATTAATCAGGAGTCGCCACAGCGAATTGAACCGCCAACTTATCCAGCAAATATGTTGTACGCAGCAGATGCCCTTCCAGCCGAAACCCAACGCAATTCATGAAACACCCATACACTCTTACATTCACACATATACACTACAGCCAATTTAGCTTATTTAATTCACCTATACCACGTCTTTGGACTGTGGAGGAAACCAGATCACCCAGAGGAAACCCACATGCACACATTAAACAACTAAATTAATGCTCAGGACTGTTTACCTGATTATATTTTAATTTCATTACATCGATGCTGTAAAAGGAACCGTATCAAATTAACCGTTCATCTGAAATGTATTGGTACGGGAAACAATACTAGCTGTGCATATATCCTATTCTCCTGTGCCTTGTTTTCATAGCTGCTGGATGGATTTGATGTCTTAATGAATAACACGTTGGATCTCCTGAAAGAGCAGTTCATAGTTCAGAGTCTCACTGGAGCCTTCAGTAATCTCACAGTCAACCAGTGGAAAATGTAAGCTAGATACAGCGTTGTTTTTGCTATACTAAATAAGAAACAAAAAAAATGTTTTGATGTTTTTCAGATTTGGAAAACATACATTGGAAAAAGTTTTTGTCCCCCCCTCACATCTGTCCAGGTTAGGAAATCTGTCCTGTCTGGCTCATCCCAGTGATCTGATGTTGTACGCAGGAACGGACGTATTCTCAGTGATCCAGGACAACATTAGGACATGTGCAGTCCAGGGAATTGGTGTTCCTAGCACTATGGTATGTGAGCATCCAGAACAGAGTCTTAATATTTTATATCATATTCCTTTATTATATTTGCCCTATTCTTAAAAACAATCCTACTTTAAATAGTAATTCTGCATCAATGCTATAAATAAAATAGTCTCTGTTTTTTTGTTTTGCTTTTTTGCAGATATCCAGCTTGGTCTTTAAAGCATCTGATCTGCAGTCTCCCTCCAGTCTCACTCCTCAGAGGATCTCTCAGCTCGCTCCGTTTCTGCCGCTGCTGGGCTCCAGCTTCCTGCAACAGCTCAGCTCAGCCCAGCTCATCCCTGTCCTCAGCACACTGACCACTGTGCCTTTCACCCCAGACCAGGTACACACAACCCACAGCAGAATATGTGCTCTGACACATTACAGTGTATCCTATTTCATTTAAGTTTTTCAAAGCGAAAAATAATGACTGACAGTTTGTGCCACAATATACAGAATTTAACTTAAAATGCTGTTCAGTATAATAGTTGTATATTTACAAAAAACAATCCATACTACCCTTATTTGGATTTTTTTCACAAAATTATCTGAAGCATTAAAGAAAATTTATTCATATAAATATTGTCTATGTGTAAAATATTTATGCCTATGTATAAAGTTATTTTGTAAACTTTAATCTTAAATATTTTTTAAAATAAATAAGAAAAATATAATATGCACCTTAAGTGCCACATAACTAGCACTTGTTACAGCATCTACATTGTCCTGGTTGTTTTTTTGCAAATTTTTTGCAAGTGAGTTCATGGGTAAGATTTTTATTTGGATAAGATTTGCATTTATATATCAATTTAATATATTTTCTATTCTATTCATAGCAATCCGAATCTATTCTGATTGCTATAAATAGGCTATGAAATATATTAAGATTTGCATTTATATATCATTTTATATATTTAGGTCATTTGCAGCATATTACAAACAGTGGTGATTCAATTAAACAAAAAAATACATAGCAAATAACATAACTATTTTAAAATATGCAGTTATAAGAAGATTCAATGAAATAAAACATACAATATCATGCCAAAACATTAAAGAAAATTATAGATTAATAAAAATTTAAATAAAACCTACATTAAATTCAATATCAGAGACACATAAGAAATCATTGCTTTGTACACAAATATATCATGTCTATCTGCATATATAACAACAAAATCTTGTATTTTGATATTTTGTATTGTGGTGTGTGACAAACTGTCATGGTCATCAGCGATCCAGCCTGTGCAGATCAACAGACTACTAATCCGCCATTACACAAACTACATATCAAGTCATGCACCACTTACATGCACCTGTTCCTCATTCAGTAGATTACACACTCTCACGGCTGGGAGCTGCTCATGAACTGATTACTAGGACTATTTATACAGCGCACACACAGACACACCTCTTGGCTGAGTCTTGTTAAACTGTTTTGTGAACATTATGACCTGTTTTCCTTGCCTTGTCTTGCCATGTACCAATCATTGTTTTGTTTGTTTGTCTGACCATTCACCTTTTATTTGACAACAACTCTGGATTTCCTTTATACATCTCTGTTGACCGTTGTTTGCCTGACTATTCTATGTTGAATACACCCTGCATTTGGATCCGCACCTCTGTTGTTAGTGTCCTGTCACATAACACAAACACTGCTACACATTTTTATTTTAAACTCTCATATTACATCAGCGGGGGTCGGTTTATCACCTAAAATGTTATGTTCTGCTGCTGTTTCGACCAGCCAACTAGCCTGTAGCTGTAGGTTTTATTTGTTTTCCTAAGTCCATTTTTACTTGCATTTTGCATATAGCCGGTTCATTTTGGACCCTCAGTATAAAATGCTCTGGTGGGTGCTGAAATTGAGTAGAGGTCAGAGGTCACTCACAGACAGACAGACAGTGTGGTACTAGTCTTGAGGGCTTTGCAACAGATGGAAGACTGTTGTCAGAGGAGCCACGGCATCTGATACAGGCACACGACTGGCTCGCTGTTCAAGCCTTTTAATCATTTCTGCTTGACCACACATGAATTCGGCATGTCCATCTCACTGTGCACCCAAACATAAGGAAAGCAGAGCATAGGAGCACAATGGTAAAACAAAACGCTTTAGATGTCCATAGAGAATCTTTACATTGGGTAGAAAGTGAAAATGTCCTTAAAGTCATTAAATGTCATTTGATATCATTTCCCATATCATATCATTTACGTTTACTCATTCAGCAGATGCTTTTTACAAAGAGACTTACAAGTGAGAATAAAAGGAGCACTTCAAATTATCAGAAAGTTGCTGTGTATAAATGCTATGACAAGTCGAAGCTATTTATTTTTTTTCATCTGGTTGTTTTTGCTTTATAATGGATTTCCTCATTCAATAACTGTTCATGAAAATATATATTTTTTTCTTTTTATAAAGGCAAGTGTTATCCTGGAGAAGATCTCAACTAATTTGAGTGTAAGTATTTTTTTCAGTAAAATTAAGAAAAACAGTTTTTGTTCTTATATTAAGACAACACATTGCAGGATAATAGGGTAAAAATAATGACAACATTTTTAGGTAATGCATTAATTGGGTATTATTATGTTTATTATAATGTTTATGTTACTATATTTAATTAAATATGTACTAATCTTTAGAAGTGGTGTAAAGTAACACATTACAAATACTCAAAATACTGTATTTGAGTATTTTTGTCTCAGGTATTGTAATTTACCAATTAGTTTTAAAATTTGTGTTCTTTTACTTTCCCCTGAGTACATTTTTACAGCTGTATCTGTATTTTTACTCTACTATTTTCCTTCAACCTATAGCTACTACTTTAATTTTTTCTTGTCTTTGCGGATTGGCTAAGTAGAAAATTCAGTCCTGTGATTCCTGTCCAATCAAATTGCACATACGTAGGCTCTTTATAAATGCAGCAAACCGTTTGGAAGCATTAAAAAGATCCAAGAACATGCCCGAAATCTTTATACGCATTGACAGAGAGGCTGTTTAGACACCAATGAGAAGATGAAGGATTTTTACTGTATGATGACTGAAATTGCCAAAAGGCCTTAAACAATCACTAAATGCACTACAGAATACTATGTTTATACTGTACATCCCTACAGTTATTGCACGTAAAATCATCAGCTTTTTACAAAGTAATACTCACTACTCTTGTGTACTTTAAAAAGGCTTTTTACTCATACTTTGAGTAATATTTACAACAGATACTTTTACTTTACTTGCACTACATTTCTGAACATGTAATGGTTCTTTTACCTGAGTATGATTTTTTCAGTATTCTTTCCACCACTGATCTTTAGACAGATAAAATACTGGATGAGATCGAGTTCAAAATTACAGTCAACAGTTTTTACAAAGATTTTATATCTCTTTTGAGTAAAATACTGTGAACCACTAGAAAAAAAGTTCACTTGTTCACTTCAATGTTAATTAAAATGTTGTATATTATCAGGCTAATTATATATGAACATATATAGACAATATACATTTTTTGTAGTCTGGTGTATGTTAAAGATATGAAGATTTAGTGCAGGATAAAAAAAAAACTTGATTTGAGAAAATTGCCTGTAAAGAGCCCCTATTATGCATTTAAAAATATCACATTTTGGTTTTAGAAGTCCCCAACAACAGTCTGATATGCATTCAAGGTCAAAAAACCCTTTCATTGTCTCATAATATGCATTTATTTTTATCTAATTATCCTAATGACTCTCATATGATTCGTTCAGCGTTTTGATTTGTTTCCAAACCCTCCTTAGCTTGTGATTGGTCGACTGCTTTCAGTGTAAGACATGCCCACCAAGGCTTATCAACAGTGTTGAAGTAGTCAGAGTGCAGAGTGTATGTGTGAGCCCTATGTAGAAGTGTATTAAGGCAATGCAGTTTAACACCAGCATACTCCTGTATTCTTAACCATAAGTAAAAACAGACACACATTCAATATTAATCCACACAGTGGCAAAAGTTGAACTATTTTGAAACTTGACCACTGCATATGTTTAGTAACAGCTGACGGTGGCCATAGCAACAACAAACGGCAGTTGATCACAAGCTTTTAAACGCATTTAAACCAATAAACAAAGCAGCATGAGTTGCGTTTTTAACATGGTTTTAGACGCAATATATCTTTATATAATTAGAATAAAAAGAGTTAACCAGATACAACACAAGCCGTGTGGAGCGATTACAAGTAACAACACAATTAAATACATAATTTGCAAGCTAGAGAAAACAAGGAGGCAACTATTTTAAAAGCTTACTTACACTTGTGAAATAGAGGAAGAAATTGATCCATGAACTGTGTACTGTAAAGTTCCTGTCAAGCTCTGACAAAGTACCAGACATCAATAGTCTTTTTTTGATCCTTCCTTTAACAAACGGCCCATGAATCCCCCATTGTAAGCATGTATATCTTTGCAAAAATAAACTTCAACCACTGACTCACATCCTCATCTTTGGGTAGGGAAAATAAGTGTCTGTGTTTATGCAACTTGATTCAACAGGGATCTGCCACAGTGTTTATCTTCCTCTTTTTCATTCTACAGTGTTTGTGGGTGGGGCCGGGGATTTTAATTTTGCCAGATCTGTGTGCACAACAAATGGGCGTGTCTTGAGTTCTATATCGACGTTACACCGACACCGCTAAAGACTAATTACCGCAGCGGTTAATTCGAACCACTATCAATCGACTCTTTTATAGACGAATCAATAGTTTTAAACATATTTTACTTCACTTAGAGCTGTTACACACTGCATGGTCGTTTTCAAAAACCCATATTAGGGGCTCTTTAAAAATATGCATTGTAATTAAAACCTATGGAAACAAATTGATAAAGCACAATAAACAAAACACTTAGAAGTGTATTTTGGATGTTTTTTTTTTTTTCGATTACATAAAAAAAAATGCTTTATGAGAGGTCAAAAAGGCCAAAATCTCAAAATTGACAAATGCATGAACAAAACTGTTTTGCCTGCAGTATCTCTGAGGAGATAGCCTCTCTGCGTGTATGCGTGTGTGTCTGCTTTTGAGATGTCAGCACTTTTCCTCATCCAGCTGGCCCACTACCCAGCATAATCAACTCTGGGGTGGTTCAAGGACAAATGCACTGGCCTCACATACTGTACACACACACACACACACACACACATACTCGTCCATCAGTTACTCTTTTTAATTTACCCTGCCTGTCTGAAAGTGCATGTAATATTTACTCATGATCCATGTGATTTGGCAGTTCCTCAAGGTATAGGTTTACACCAATCACAATGAAGTGATCTAGCAGCCTGTTTTTCTGTCTTTGTATTTTGTGTCCAAGCCAAGGTTTAGGAGAACATTGTGATGTAGGTCAGATAGGATGTCACTAGTGTGCTGGCACATGCTTTAATCATCCTCTTTCACATGTGGGGCATCAATGAGACACCTAAATATAAGTTAAAGTGTATTTTTTTGTGGAAATATAGACTGCATACGGCACTTTATTATTAAAACTAGTTACAGTACATTGCATAAGCGATTTTGAGTGATTTTTTCATATACAGTTCTCAGCATATACAGTGCATCCAGAAAAGTAAGTTTTTTATGTTAGTCATTTTCAAAAATGGATTAAATTAATTTATTTCCTCAAAATTCTACACACAATACTCCATAATGACAATGTGAAAAAGAGTTTTTGAAATTGTTGCAAATTTATAAAAAAAAATTAAAAGCTGAAAAATCACATGTACATAAGTATTCACGCCCTTTGCCGTGAAGCTCTAAATTGAGCTCAGGTACAGTCTGTTTCCTCTGATCCTTGACATATTTCAGCAGCTTTATTGGAGTTCACCTGTGGTAAATGCAGTTGATTAGACATGATTTGAAAAGGCATACACCTGTCTATATAAGGTTCCAGGGTTGACAGTGCATGTCAAAGCACAAACCAAGCATGAAGACAAAGGAATTGTCTGTAGACCTCAGAGACAGGATTGTCTCAAGGCACAAGGCTGGGGAATGTTATAGAAAACTTTTGCTGCTCTGAAAGTTCCAATGAGCACAGTGGCCTCCATCATCCATAAGTGGAAGATGTTTAGAACCACAAGCACTCTTCCTAGAGCTGGCCGGCCATCTAAGCTGAGTGATTGGGGAAGAAGGGCCTTAGTCAGGAAGGTGATCACTAACCCGATGGGCTCCAGCTTTCTTCTGTGGAGAGAAGAGAACCTTACATAAGGACAACCGTCTGCGCAGCAATCGGAAACCCATTCTTGCCTGGAATTTCCCAAGATTTTTCAGCAACAGGAACTGGAAGACTAGTCAGGATAGAGAGAAAGATGAATGCAGTAATGTACAGAGACATCCTGAAAGAAACCCTGCTTCTTGACCTCAGACTGTGGCAACAGCTCATCTTTTAGCAGGACAATGACCCAAAGCACACTGGCACAATATCAATGGAGTGGCTTCACAACAACTCGGTGAATGTTCTTGAGTGGCCCAGCCAGAGCCCAGACCTAAATCCTATTGAACATCTCTGGAGAGATCTGAAAATGGCTTACACCATCACTTCCCATCCAACCTGATAGCGCTTGAGAAGTACTGCAAAGAGGAATGGGCAAAAATTCCTAAAGACAGGTGTGCCAAGCTTGTGGCATCATATTCAAAAAAACTTGAGGCTATAATTGCTGCCAAAGGTGCATCAACAAAGTATTGAGCAAAGGCTGTGAATACTTACGTACATGTGAATTTTCAGGTTTTTTATTTTTAATAAATTGGCAACAATTAAATTTTTTTTTTTTTCACATCGTCTTTATGGGGTATTGTGTGTAGAACTTTGAGGAAATAAATCAATGTAATCCATTTTGGAATAAGGCTGTAACATAAAAAAATGTGAAAAAAGTGAAGTGTTATGAATATTTTCCGGATGCACTGTGTAAGTAACCCCTCACAAATCTCTACAATATTATATTAGTATAAATCTCGAACTTTTACGATATATATATATAAAAATAACTTACGATATTGGGCCAAAAAAACAGTACACCCAAATTTATGTTATTGAAAAATATTCAATACAAATTTTAAAAACAGCAAAATTCAAGAGAAACAAAAAATGTAAAACAATTAGTTGAAATTTTGTAGTTTGTAATTTATCCAATATTTTGCAAGAATTTAATTGCATTATCTTTCAATTTCTAAAGATGTTTAGTGACTAAAATATTGTTTTATTAAATATATCTGTTTAAAAAAATCTGTTTTGTTTAAATGCACCAAAATACAATGCCTATACTCACTGAGAAAATGATACAAATGTTCATTTTCAAAATGAAGTAAGTATATTGCTTTTTATTTTTTATTGCTTTCTAAAATATTCTGAACATATTTATTTAGAAATTAATAGTGTATTAAATATTCTAAAGTTAAAAGTTTGTTTTGTTTAAAAATTAATATAAACATGCCAAAATCATGACACACTTTTTTGTTATTTTGACAAATTGTCATTTGTTTTGATTTTAATCACAACATTTGTATTATACAGGGTGATGAAAAAGAATACCACAACTTTGAAAATCTGTGTCTAATCAAAAGAAACATGATGAAACCTTGGGTAATTAATCAATATGATGAGTACTTGGGAAAAAAAACTTTTTTTGAGTAGAAAACAAGTTCATAGATGTTCAACTTGACACCCTCCAGATACTCGAGTGACATCGACCCAATACTCGTACTCGTTTCACACTCTCTGTAGCATCTCAGGCATAACAGTTTGGATAGCTGCAGTTATTCTTTCTTTTAGTTCCTCAGTGTTAGCTATTAGAGGTGGTCGAACACCATATCTTTAACATAGCCCCATAGAAAGAAAAGTCACAGGGGGTGAGGTCAAAGGCTCAACACTTTCAACAGTGCTCCTAGTGATTAAATGAGAACCACATAAAACTTCAGAGCTTCCTACGTCGACACAATCAATTACAGAAAAAAACATAGCTCTCCTTTTCTTCTTTGCAGAGTTCTCGATTTTCAAAGATGTTCTTTTTGAATCAACCTGTACGTTCACAAGAAATGTGATCAATTATTTGCTTAAGAAAGCAAAATTAATGCTTTACCCAGTATATTTATCTATATATATGTTGAAGCAGACTTAAAATAAGAATATAATATAATAAAATACATTTATTAAAATCTTTCTTTTTCTGTCTTATCTGCAGTCCTTAGTTTTATATTGAATATTGTATTCTCAATAGTACTAAATACTATGTATAGTAATACTGTAAGTGTGATCTCTCTCAGCTGGCTCTGCCTGGCTCTGGGCTGCTGTCTCAGCTTGGCTCTCTAGTGAGTGGAGTAAAGGTGGAGACTCTGTGGACTTTACGATCTGATGTTCTGCTGGAAGCGTTACCTGCTATGAGTCTTCAGACACCTGGACTCACCCCTCCACAGGTCAATGCCATCATCTCCACTCTCTGGGTAAGAAACTCAGTCAAACATGCTCAAACTAGAAGATTCATTTAGAAGAGGAAAAACTGAAAAAAAAATGAAGAAGAATTTAAAAGGCCACCATTTGAAGAGCATTGGCTATTCAAATTCAGGCTCCAAAAGAGTTTTATTGCTGTGCTGCCACACAAGAACATCTTTCGGTTCTTCAAAGAACATTGTAGTGTATAGTTGTTTTAAATAACATCTTAATGCCAAGAACAATTTAAAAATCTAAACCATTTTCATTATAATCTATTCTGTTTTAAATCAAAATTTGTCTTAGAATGTTCTTTTTGAAACTGTTGATGCCAATAATGTCCACTTGTTTAAAACGCATTTTAATGGTTTTCTTATGGGTCCACAAAATAGTCATTATATTTGTAAGGTTTCTTAAGCTTATTAAGTTTCATTCATTCTCTTTTCGGCTTAGTCTCTTTAATAATCCAGGGTTACCACAGCTGAATGAACCGCCAACTAATCCAGCATATGTTTTCACACAGCGGATGCCCTTCCAGCTGCAACCCATCACTGGGAAACATCCATACACACTCATTCACACTCATACACTACGGACAATTTAGCCTACACAATTTACTCGTACCGCATGTCTTTGGACTGTAGGGGAAACCGAAGCACCCGGACGAAACGCAGGGAGAACATGCAAACTAAAAACAGAAACGCTAACTGACCCAGCTGAGCCTCGAACCAGCGACCTTCTTGCTGTGAGGCAACAGCACTATACCAATGACTTTGTACATGACTTGTTTCCATAATCCTGGACCAGGTCGTATCCTGAGCAGCTGCTGCTGTGGTGGTCGAGGAGGAGTGGAGAGCATGAGACTGAGTCTCATCGATGGATTTGCTCTTAAGTGTTTAGACTCTCAGTAGTGATTATTTAACCACACTGAACTGAGCTAAACTGATCTGAACTTAAACACTGAAAAATGAACTATACTGTTTCAATTCACCATGATCTTCTAAGTGAAGCTGCTTTTACATAATCTACATTGCAAAAGCGCTATACAAATAAAGGTGAATTGAATTGAATTTAACACTGCATAAAAAGTACTTTTCAAAATCTATAATGGGGCACCTTAAGAAATATGGCAAAGAAATTTGCAAGGTGCAGTAGGTGTTCTGGAAGCTTTTTCAATGAAGATATTGACAATTAAACTGCTTTTGAGTATGACATTAAAATTGGTATTAATTGTTTTAGCACAAATACTGTAAATTTATCTTCTGCTTTCCTTGTTTTCAGGGTTCTAGTTCAGTGTCCCTGTGGATGGATAAAGTCCAGCCTTTGTTGTCTAGCACTCCACTCCTCAGTGTGATTCCCCAAGTCCCTCTACTGCTGATCAGAGACACTGCTGTACACACTCGCCTCTGGAACACACAGCAGGTACACTCCTTTATTTACTATAGTCACATCACTTGTATGTTTTGTTGTTGTTATTGTTCTTAACAAATACATACAGTATATATGTAATATTTCAGCATATTTGTCTATTATAAAATTATATAATGGCAAAGCTGAAATTTCAGCAGTCATCAGTCACATGATCTTTCAGAATCTTTAAAATATGCTAATTTGGTCTTATTACCATCAGTGTAAAAATAGCTGGAAAAGGTTGCATTTATTTTATGCAAACCTTGTTTTACAAGAAAGAAGACATTTTTTATAGACAAAATACATTTATTTTAATCTATTTTACATATTTGTAACAAGACAAATTTTTATCATTTTAATTTAATTTAGGTTAAAAATTAGTAATAAAAAAAGGTGTTGTAGACCTAAACAATTGAACAGTGTAGACTTTTGCATTCTGCAGCACAGATGCACCATTTTATAAGTACAGATGTATAACTGTGCATGAACCATTTACACTAAATATTATCTGTCTAAGGGGCATAACAAGTGTTTTTCATCATGACACTTGCTATTGCCACAGAGATCTGTATAACAGTATAGTGTCTAATTACTGCTTTAATTATTAATAATGGAGCAAAGGCTTCTTTGTTGTGTAACCTCTGGTTCTCTGATTTAGCACACTAGATACTGTATCTTCTGTTGGCAAGTCTCGTTTACTAGTAGGAAATAAGAATTAAGTTGCAGAAGTTGCTCTGGTGTCCTCAGCCCCTCTTTCCAGGACATTAAGCATGAGAGTGTTTGGTGATCCCAGACAGTCTGAGATAAGCTTACAGAGATAGGAAGTTACAGATTTATTTATTCATTGCATTAGAGCAGTTCAAGCTTAGAGAAACACCTGATTTGAAGCATCCCAGACATAAAATGCATTTTTTACATCCACATTTTAGACTACATTAAATTCTAAGGTTCATGATTTTTTTTTCAGTAATTTCATTATATTGTTTTTTTCTCATTCACTAGGCTAAAGTTCTCTTCAAAGAGGCTATCCACTCTCATCCAAGTCTCTCACTAAATGATTTTCTGTAAGTTTGGCTTTGTTTTGTGATTATGAACAAGATCAACGGCATGAATAAATAACCTACCCAATGAAATATGAATTGCTTATTTTTCTTCTTCTTTCTCTGACAGATCTTTGGGCACAGTGGCTACAGGAGTGACATGTGTTGAACTTAAAAAAATGTTTGAAAGCCTGGCTTCTCTGTCTCCACTACGGGACATTCTATCATTTCTCAGAGAGCAGCCTGTGCCACTCCACCCCTCACTTGTATGCTAACGAAAGCTTAAATTCAATTGCAGATTACTTTTCTGTTTAGTCAATTCCTCACTAAATTCAGTCTTCTCATTGTTGACTTGATTGTTAAAGTTTTGTGTAGACCCAAATTGATGTGTTAAATTGTGAATGCTGGATCAATTATTGCCCAAACTGTATGAACAAATGTACATTTCTCATCAAAGAAGATGCATTGTCTTCTATGTATTACAGACACAGTGTATAAATGAGGAACTCTACAACTTTAACTTCTTCTCAGATTTGCTTGGAGATTTGGGACCTCAGATTGCTCTGTCACTTCCGTGAGTCACAATTTAGTTCAGTTTTAATGTAATTTAATGTAATCATGTTTTCACATTCAATTCCATACCATTCTTTAAGGCTGTCCACCATTAAGAAGTTTCCACCAGATAAAATGGATTCCCTCAGGAGAATGATAGTGGAAGACCCACATTACTTCCTATTGCTTCCAAGCACCAAACAAGCTGCACTTGTGGACAAGATGGTTCAAAGACTGGTAAAGATCGGTTTTGTTTTATTGTGGAGGGAACACACTTACTGAACAAAACAAATCCGTGTGAGAGTGAAGTCACATAATAGTGTATATAAAAATGTAAAGTTCTGAACATGACTTATTGACAGTGTAAAAGTTAAAGATCAGAGATGAAGCATAACTCATTTTCCTAATAACCAGTACAATCTACCAAGAATAGCCCAAGTTAAAACGACTGTGGCTTAAAAATGAATTCTACGAGTGAGTTCTACGTACTTCTTTGACAAGTTTCAGTTGCTGCTGGAGGATGAATCTAAAGAACAATTGCTGCAAAATAGATAAATGCATATATTTTGGGTGCAAATAAAGTAAATTGACTCTCCTAACTTATTCATTTATTTTTGTTTGGCTTAATCCCTTTATTAATCAGGGGTCTCCTTAGTGAAATGAACTGCCAACTTATCCAGCATATGTTTTACACAGAGGAGCTGCAACCCAGTACTGGGAAACACTCATTAACACCCATTCACACACACACACACTGCGGCCATTTTAATTAATCCAGTTCACCTGTGGACTGTGGGGGAAACTGGAGCACTCGTAAGAAACCCACACGAACATGGAGAGAACATGCAAACTCCACACAGGAATGCCAACTGACCCAGTAAGGACTCGAACCAGCAACCTTCTAGCTGTAAGGCAACAGTGCTAACCACTGAGCCACCATGTTGCTTACTCCCCTAATTGCCCCTAACAGATGACATTGCATCAATCATCTAATTGCTCTTTAATTATGCCCACTAATTTTGCATAGTAAGGGAAGATGCTACATATCCATAAACAAAAAGTAGTCAGCAGCAATAATAACCATTATGCCATTTCATAAGTTTGTTTTCACCGCCTGTCTTTAGTAAACCTTGACTTTTTTGTCAACTGAAGGTTTGCACTGCTAGAAGCTGTTAGTAAATCTGGCCCTAGAAATGATGTAAAAAATGTTGTTCTGGACCATCCCAGTATATAAGGTAAACAAGCTTAAATTGTATAAAAAACATAGGAATTGTTTTGCATGAACTTAGAAAAGCTACACATTAGTCAAAAAACAGCAAAAGGATGTGAAAATTGCGGTCTAAAATAGTACAATTATAAATTGTGCCTTTTATTACACTTTTACAGATATTAAGAGATAATGAAAATTATTATTACTATCATTATTATTATTATTATTATTATTTATTTGTTATTACAAACTAGGATAGGTCAATGAGTGTCAGTGTCACAGCAAAAAAGTTGACATTTATATCTTTTGACATTCACATAGCCAAAATGATCACAAAAATAAACTGAACAAGACAAAAATGTTCATAAGGATGCTGTCATATTGTCATTTGTGAGTTCTAGTTTCAGTGAATTTATTTCGGATATTTGGGTTTTCTCCTCAGGATATGTACAGCGGAACATACACATTACAGGAGTTTCATTCATTAGGTGTCATGGCTACGTTTGTGGCTGATGAAATGTTTTGGCAACTGGACAGGAGCTTCTTTGTCGATAATCTGGAGTTCCTGCGAGGATTCTGCTACAGTTCCAATAAAAGAGACCTAGTGGCAAAAATGCTACAGGAACCAAAGACATTTGGGTATGGACAGTCAGAAAATAATGCTAACAATTAAACCCAGAAATGCCTCTTAACAATAAACTGTATCTGTTTTCTCTACAAAGCGCTGTGCAAAACTGGACTTCAGAGACACTGAACCAAGTGGACCGCTTCTTGTTCTTTCTTCCAAAGGAGATTATTCAACTCATCCCTTTAGTACGTGGCTTGATTTTTCTTTCTTCACTCACTTAATCGATTACGGTATTATCTCACACACAGAAGTGGATATAAGATCAACCTGTGACAACCTGTGATTGATTGATTTATTGATTGAAGTTATGATAATTATTAGTATATTTAACTTACAATGAATAATTGAGATCACTGCTTTTGATCTTTGTACATGTGTGTGTGTCTTCAGGGTTTGATGAGTTTAGAGCGCATTGAGAGGCTGTTCCTGAGTCAGCAAGAGTGGGAGAGCGGACAGCTCGGCTCTCTGTGTCAGTCACCTAATGAGCTGTTTGACAAGCAGCAGTTTGTGCTTCAGTTTTTCCTCGGCTTCCTCAAAGTGGGACGCGCCACTTGTAAATAAAGTCTTTTGCCTCTTGTGAAGAAAAATACCACTTATACACTCACCGGCTACTTTATTAGGTACACCTTACTAGTACTGGGACTGCCTTAATCCCTCGTGGCTTAGATTTAACAAGGTACTAGAAATATTCCTCAGAGATTTTGGTCCACATTGACTTGATAGCATCACACAGTTGCTGCAGATTTGTCGGCTGCACATCCTTGATGTGAATCTCCCAAAACCTCTCAAATTCTGACACTACCATCTGAATGTCGCAGCAGAAATCGAGACTCATCAGACGAGGCAGCATTTTTCCAATTTTTTATTATCCAATTTTGTTGAGGCTGTGCGAATTGTAGCCTCAGTTTCCTGTTCTTAGCTGACAGATGTGGCACCCGGTGTGGTCTTCTGCTGCTATAGCCCATCCGCCTCAAGGTTGGAATTGTTGTGCATTCAGAGATGCTCTTCTGCATACCTCAGTTGTAAGGTTATTTGAGTTACTGTTGCCTTTCGATCAAACCAGTCTGGCCATTCTTCTCTGACATCTGGCATCAACAAGGCATTTGCGCCCACAGAACTGCTGCTCACGGGATATTTTCTCTTTTTCGGACCATTCTCTGTAAACCCTAGAGATGGTTGTGAGTGAAAATCCCAGTAGATTTGAAGTTTCTGAAATACTCAGACCTAGTCTGTCTGTCACCAACATACATGCCACGTTCAAAGTCTTTTAAATCACCTTTCTTTCCCATTCTGATGCTCAGTTTGAACTTGACTATAAATGCATTGAGTTGCTGCCATGTGATTGAATGATTAGAAATTTGCGTTAACAAACAGATGGACAAGTTTACCTAATAAAGTGGCCGTTGAGTGTATATGTATATAATTTGTTCCCCTACTGTCATTTCTCATATTAAATGTGTGTGTTTGTGTTAGACATTGGGCTGACCCCTACTTGTGAGAGCCTTCGTGTGACACAGCCTGCAGCCTGGACTATCGACAGTCTTAAAAACATGCCATCAAGTGCGTTTCGGAGGTGCTTGCAGCTCATTGGAGAAGATCCATTTTTCAGTCAATACGAGCTTTCTGTGCTCCTAACAAAGACTAAAGAGGTGCCTTCATCTGCTTATTAACTCTTCAATAATGCATTAACAAAAGTGTTTGTTTTTACTTTTGTATCTTGAATTTCAATTTAAAAGTACCAACTTCAGTATTTATCGGTACTGAAATAAATAAAATGTCCATCTCGCAATAACATTTGTGCACTGTTGAGAAGGTTGTTAATTATATATGAACATGCATACAGTGCTTATAGGAAATCATCCTACTCTGTAGAAATCTATACCTCATATTACACCCCAGTTTTCAAAAGATCTTTGGGATAAAGTTGTGGGAAGGCACAGGTTATGTGAAGACTACTAAAACATTTTTGAAGGCTGAAAAAGTTATTTGGAAAGTGATTTGATTCAGGATAATCAGCTGTGTTTTAGAACCTGCTCAACAGCTCTCAAAATGCAAGTGAGAAATGCTGGTATCATCATATTTACTGATTTGTACTGAACTTGGTACTTTTGACAAGTTTAGTTTTACTCTTTTGTCTGTGTGTAGGTTTATGGTATTCCCTCCAGTTATAACTCTTCTGTGATCGCTCAGTTGGGTCGTATTGCCACTCAGCTCTCACTTAATGAGCTGGCTTCTCTTAAACTGTCTGAAATTGAGTCAATCGCAGCCATGGGAGCTGTCAACATGTGGAACAGCAGACAGGTAAACATTTTGATGAATGTATTGAAAAGGTGAGCTACTGTAGGATGGGTCGGACAACATCATTTAAAATATGACTTTGGCTTTGATGAGCCTCTTGTTATTCATTCCTTTGTTTACTATACATGATTGCAATATATGTTAATGTTTATTTTGCGTCTGTAAAACAATATTTATGTCTCTGAAAAATGACATCATCATCATCATCATCATCATCATCATCATAATCATAATCATCAATTCTGCATTTAATTAAAAATAAAATTAAAAAGTAATGACTTTCAATTCTTCCAATATATTTAAAAATATTATTTGTTTCTGTGATGCCAAAGCTAAATTGTTTAGCAGCAAGTATAATAAATGTACTAACCAAAGCAAAAAGAATCATACATTTTGTAGTTTACACAACTGACCCTTGTTTGCTATTGCAGTTGAAAACGCTGTTCTCCACAGTGCTGAACTCATCCAGAAAGAACCCTAGCCAGTTAGACTCCAGCACTTTTGTTGCTTTGGGACACATTGTGTGTGGGATTGATGCATCAGTCATGCGCAGTTTGAATCCAGTGGAGTTCAGGTTAAATTATCTCAGAAACTTTAAGCTGTTGATTTTAAAGTTCATTCTGTTAAACAGATTTTTTTTACACTCTGTGTGTTGTTTCTGTCATTCCAGTAAGGCAGTTTTGTGGCTGGGCCGTTTGCGTTTGTCCTGCTCTGAGGAGCAGCTGCAGACATTAATAGGACTGCTCAGCAACAGCTTGTCTTTTGGACTGATCAGCTCCTGGGGATCAGAGATCTTCATTGAAATAGGAGCCATTGCAGGTATACTGCAGCTCAGAGTTTGTAATCAGAGAGTTCAGATTTATAAATATGTTTGGCTTTGAGCAAGGTATTTTATTCAAGAGTGCTTCATCCTGCTTATTACATTGTTACTTCTTAATTACTTGAAAAATGTATTAACTTAAAACTTCAGCATTGAATGCGGTAAACAAACATTTAAAAGGTTATGATACAATCTCATCACTTATTACACAGCTTTTCAATACATACTGTAAAGTGTAAAGTGTATAGGAAGAAGTTCAAGATAGAAAAGCAGTCTTTAACAATGTAAAACACCAACTTCAGTTACCTAGATGAGCCTGTTTTCAGTTTTTACCATTTGTTATCAAGCAACAACAAACCATTCAATGGCACAATTGCGCAACGAGAATAAGGTTTTCCAGAGAGTCACGCAATAACAGAATAGAATTTAATTATTTGTTCGAGTTATTTGAATAAACTGTAAATACTGTTTTATGTCACTGTTTAACATCTGCAAATACATAAATGGATATTTAGGTTATCAACAAAAAAAATAATTTACTTGACACACCTTTAAATAAATTATATTCTGGAGGTTTTAGGGGGTGGTATTATAACAATATAACAATAATTTGTTTAAACATGCATAATAGGCAAGGCAAGGCAAGTTTATTTATATAGCACATTTTATACACAGTGGCAATTCAAAGTGCTTTACATAAACAGGAATAAAAGTGACAAGTGTAAGAAAATAAAAAATAGTAAGGATTATAAAAATAAGAATGAAAAATAGATAAAAATGTGTTAAAATAGGTTATAGCACGATAAAATAGGTAATATAGAAATAGGTAATAACACTAGTTTAAGTAACAATTCATGCTATTGACTACTGGCTTATTACCTGTCTATTATTGAAAGCTAATAGTTTTAGTCTTAATAAATTCTGTATTAGCATCAGTATCAATAAGAACATTGCGTCTTAGTTGCTTTTTAGTTCAAAATCACAATAATTGTTGTTTTTTTTTATCTGTAGCGGGGTTGCCTGATATAGCCATGTCTGCTTTGGTGAAGGAACAAATAGAGGGAATCACCCCACTTGCCATCTCTCTCATCCCAGCGGGCAAATTTGCAGTCAGTGTCTGTTTTTATTTTTCTAGTGTGAAACCCTGAAGTGATATCTGTTAAGTTGGTGCACTTACCAAATAAGCAATGTGCTAAGTCAACTGATCACACTGTATTCATGTATCTTGTTGGTCATTTCTCATACTTAATTTGTGATTTCTTTTCTAAATCTTTTCTTAATCTTCTTTTTTATGTAAAGCATTTTGAATTACCATTGTGTATGAAATGTGCTATATAAATAAACTTGAATTATGCATGCAACTTAGACCACTGGTAAAAACACTCTAATGATGTACTCTATATTTTGGAGTAATTTCAGGATAGTTCTACCTGTGCTTTCTACTTTCTCTCTTCTCAGGTGGTGTTTAACCAGGCACAGATTCGCATGTTCACCTATGAGCAGGCCATTGCTGTAACTGATGCCCAGCGCTCTGCTCTGTCTTCAGTACAGCAGACGGCCCTGTACATGGTGCTCAATCCCTGGGAGGACAAACCTATTGATTTCAGAGGTACATTCACTTCTGTTTTAAAAGAGGGCGGGAGAAAGAGAAGCTCTGCTATTTCACAATATTTAATACAGTATCATCATAAGTTTTGATTGACTGATATTTGGATACGTTTAAGTTATCACTGGGTTGCAATGCTCTTTATTGTGTCTAACAGCTGTTTTTGTGTATGCTTTTAGGCAGGTCTCTGGGAGTCGCAGTTTACCCCTGTCATATTTTCTACCTCTTCAGCATCCTGATAACGTTGCTGTCGCTTCCTCCTGTTATGGGATGAGTTTGAATCTGTCACTTCTGATTCGCTGCTATACTGAACTGAACACTCCTTTCCAAATATGTGCAATATGGTGTAACTTCAATACTGTAAATATGTATTCAGCCTTTTTAAATTGCTGAATTGGGTTTCAGAAATGTTCTGTGAAATTGCATCAGAGATATTTGATAAGTACATTGTAATATTAACAATCACTCATAGAAATATTTCTTTAAGGAATTTCTACAGCATTTTTGGTCATGATAAAGAGCTTTTGTTTATTTTTAGTTTGGAAAATAATGTATCAACATTTATGTCTGTATTTTGGTTTGACTTTTGTGCTTTACATTTATCTTTGTGTCCAGTTTTATTTATAATATTTATTAATTTATGCATGTATTTTTAACTGCTTTAAGAAGAGCCTTCATGCAATGACACATCTAAATTGGTGGTATTAACTTAAAAAGTAAACCCTGATCGTGAAATTTCTTTGTTCTTTCATTTGTAAAGTCATTCTTGTGTTCATTCTCCCTATTTATGTAATTTGAAGTTTAGTGTTCTTGTATTTTTGTGCATCAACTAATACATGTATTATTTAGCAAAGTGTTAGACCCCTAATGAAAATTAACCATGGTTTTATTTTAGTAAAAGTGTTGTTTTGTTGTTTGTTTGTTCTTTAAACTCCATGGTTAAATTACGGTTTGTGTTGCAATGTGTGGTCACTATTGTTTAAATGTAGTCACCGTGCTGTTTTAGTTTTATTCACGGTAAAGCCATATGAAGATTTCAGTTGCAAAGACCTCTAAATGGATCGGATCTGTTCTTCTAAAATGATAATTTATCTCAGTCTCCTATGTTTTTATGCTGTTATTTGACTTTAAAGGCAATATAAATAATCTATTCATACCCATAACTGTGAAATATCTGAAGCTACACAGGTAAAAAATATAAAAGTGCTCATTTTAGAAGTTTTCTGAAGGCTGAACTCATCTGAACTCTTCATATGTTTACCTCCTGTAAGGGCCTGGGGCCTAATAATTTTACAACTTTAACAAAATAGAATTTCACTACAAGAAAAACAATAAGAATGATGATAATTAATAATAATAAACACAATGGCATTGTTATTACTATCTAGTTTTTGACACACACGAGCCTTGTGTATTCGCCACACGGTGTCGCCACACAGCTCCACTTAGTCCTCCGGTATCCCGTCAGCATGAAGGCAGAAGCGCGTAGATCAGAGCAGCTCTGTGCACATGCTTTCTCTCAGCTACTAGTTAAACTAACTCACAGTTAGCCAAGATGGCGGATTCAGACGAATGGGGTAAGGATTGCTATCAATATTTAAAGGTTGAGCGCTTGAAATGGTGTCGGTCGCTGTTAAGCTTCGACATTATTTTGTTTATCCAAAGACGCTGACAACTTCGAGCCAAATGAGCAGATTAAAATTGCCACCGCCGGGCGGCTGGACAGATGGGAAGGCGAGGACGAGGAGGAAGACGTAAAGGTAAGGTGCTAATGGGCAAGTTATCAAAACTTTATTGCTAAACAGGGTATTAGTCATTTTAATTCTGCTTTCTCGAGTCACGTGTGGCTAAAGATAGCATAAGTAACATGGGCGACCCTGGTGTATTTTTAGCCGTTTCGCTAGCCCAGAATAGGCCCGTTTTATTTGGGGATACACCAGCTGTATCCAGTTGCGCCTTCTTGATTTCTAGTAACTTACTTCTCTTGCACTGACAGTTTCTGTCCGTTTACGTCAGCAAACGTGTTGAGCGATCTGTTATGTGACAGTTGATACACTAACAACAATACACTGACAGCTCTTTACAAAATCAAACTAACGTTAATATAGTTAACGTTAATACTGATAACACATCGGTCAGTTAATGTATTAGTGGTTGAAATGTTTAGACTTATTCTAGTTCCGTGGCCAACCACATGAAGCTTCGTTTGCAGTTTAGTTCATTGTAAGATACTGACAATTAATTTACTCCCCTTTGTTACTAATGTTCTAGATACATCAGCTTGTTAAATATACTTGTTAGTAGTGGTACACCGCGTTTACATTCTAGCTAGTGGCAGTTTCCTTTAGTTTTTTTTTTCTCGGCTGATTTTGTGTTTCACTTCCAGTCGCTGTCATGTGGATGTTGCCGTTTGTGCGCCTGGCAGCAGCAGCTGGTTGAGTTCCTGTTGACGTCATGACGCGATTGAGTCATGTTGCGTGTGCTGGTGACGCGCAGATCTAGAATTCTCTCACGTGCCGTCCCTTCTCGAGCTCATATATGTGCACGCGCCTGTGTTATTATTGGACTGTTATTATACCGCGTGTTGCTTTGTTTAAAAGCAGCTCTAGAAAGCGCACGCTGAATAAAACCGCTTACTGGGGGCTCAAGGGTTCAAATGATTTTTTTTTCTGGAGTATCCACTATGATGGAAAACCTGCAATGTTAAGGAAACAATGTTTTTTAATTCATCCTGTAGCCTTAAAACATTATATTTAAAAAGTGAGCTGTTATCAATGTTGTTGTAGGTTTCTGTAAATGTATTTCTATTAATTGCAGAAGAGAAATTGTTTCACCTGTCTTGATGTTTGATGGGGGTCTTTCTTTAATGAATAAATGAGACAATATTTACGGCCAAATTATTTCATCATCTTGCATATGTTTGACGCACTGTGCTTTTCTGTGTGTAGGATAACTGGGATGATGAGGAGGAGGAGGAGAAGGAGGAGGAGAAGAAAGTTGAACAGAAAATAGCTGGTATTGATCTTACAATTTCATATATCTTTAAAAACTGGCCATTAAAAAGATTCACTTTATTTTGCCTTTTTTTTCTAGCCTCAGTGTGTGTAACTGATCACTTCATTTTAAATCACCAGTGATCTCCGAAATTCTTCATTTAATGTTCTAGATTTTTACTTTGCTTTTTTGTAATTATTGTTTGACTTTAACAGCATTTTCTTATGGTTTGATTTTTTACATTTCTAACAGAAGTGAAACCTCCTGAGAAGAAAAAATTAAGTGACAAAATAAAAGAGAAAGAACTTTTGCAAAAGAAAAAACAAGAGGAGTTGAAAAAGGTAATAACATAATTATTAGGTGTATAACTATTAAGGCTGATTTATGCTTCTGCCGCAAGCGCACGCGTATGTTCCGATGCAGCTTTCGTGTGGCCGCATAGCCCTCACTGTGGCTGAAGCTGACACTGATGCGCACCTCTCAAAACATGTAACCACACATCGCAATGATATTTACCTCAAGCTCTGTGACTGGTTGGCTTGGTAGCAGTGCCCAGTGTGGGCGGTGCTAAGAGCCGTGAGCCCAATGGAGTGAGTGTCGAGTTCCGAGAAGGAGCTCTAAATGTTTCGTGTTTACCTTATTATTAAAGTTGTTGCACGTCCGCTGGTTCCCGTCTCTGAATGAGCATGTCCAACTACATTAAGGTAGCGTTCATAATAAACAAAACGCTCACGAAGAAACTCGATACAGACGAACACAACATAACCTACTGCCAGCTAGCGTTCCGGACATGTTATTGCAGAGCAACACAAACACGCAGAAGTATAAATGCACGACTGCGCACAAGATATGTGCCGTGGTTCACAGCGATCACTCAACGCAGAAGTATAAACCAGCCTGTAGTTTTTAAGCATTAATTCTTAATCTTCTAATTTTACAACCATGTATTATTTATGAAATGAATAGAATCAGGAAACAGCAGCTAGTGAGAGTCTGACGTTAGAGGAGCAGCTAGCAGAAAAAGCTAGACTGAAAAAGCTGCAGGAGGAGGCAGACATGGAATTGGCCCGTGAGGCTTTTGGTAAGAAACAGCACTTTGGTGAAGTCTTCCAATTTCTTCATATGTATATATGTATATATATATATATATATATATATATATATATATATATATATATATATATATATATATATATATATATATATGTATAAAGTTAATCGATGAATTTCTTCCCGTCTTTAGGTGTGGATCCTGCTGCTGCAAATGCCTCAACTACTGTTAACACAACAAACGCCTCTGGAATTGAAGCCATGTGCCCGTCATCCAAAGATGACTTTGTTACATTTGAAAAATTACTGAAAGAAAAGATAACACAGTTTGAAAAATCTGTGCATTATTCAAGCTTTTTGGAATCATTGTTTCGAGAACTTTGTATTTCATGTAAGTGCAGAAGGTTTTATGAATATGTAGTTATTTTGTTAGCACTCAGTTTTTTCAATTCTTATTAACATTTTTTTAAAGGGACCTATTATGCCTGTTTTTACAAGATGTAAAGTAAGTGTATGATGTCCCTAAAGTGTGCATGTGAAGTTTTCACTCGAAATTCCCCACAAATATTTTCTATAACTCTTTGAAACTGCACCTTTTAGGCTTTGAACCAAAATTATGCTATTGTGGCGACTAAATTCAAATGAGATTGTGCCCGTTTCAAAATAGGGCAGAGCTACAAACATCTGTTCAAAAACAGGATGGACGTTATTTCTATAAAAAACTGTACTTAGAAAGTAGTGCAGTATTCATATGTGCATCCACAAACTCCACATTTATATAATGCCTTTTAGTCGCTGATATTATCTTTAGCAGGTACTGTGTGAAAACTGGCTGCTTCTCACTTAGTGCTGTTTATGCTATACACTCATTTTAAAAAACTATAAGGAGACTGCGATGGGACGAAACCTGAAAGTATAGGATATCAACACTGTAAACATTGCAACAATATGCTGTGGACCACAAACCTATTGCTGTAGCTGCAATTTCAAAGTGCAGATGTGGTGTAAACCACTTTAATATCATTCAGTTGAGTTTAAACAGTTAAAAGCATATTAGGCATTAAACAAAATCTCAGCCTCTTAAAGAGTAATACGCTTAAGTGTCCTCCTAGGCTTCAGTTCATGGCACCAGTTAAACACAGTGGGGACAGTTCCCTGCTTCAGCCTATATAATCTGGTGCGCGATAAATCAATGCAGTCCTCTGTAGCACACCCTCGTGTTGTCAGTAATGGGTACTGAAATTTTAAAAACGTCTATTTCCAGCTAACATTTAAGCGTGTCCATAAACCACTCATTTGCCATGGTATTCTCCAGTGCTCAACAGAAACGATTGTGATTGGCCGTGAAGGTCATCAGTTCACCACTTTTCACTGAGTACAAACACAAATGCAGGGAGACTGGAGTATTTTAAAGCTGCAAAGATCAGTCGATTGCTTGTCTGTGTTTGCACTTTGTAAACATCGGTGAACTGCAGTGAACTTACGACATTCACGGCCAATCACAATCATTTCTTTTGAGCACTGGTGAATACTATGGTAAATCAGCAGTGTTTAAATGTTAGCGGGAAATTGACTTTCTTTTTTTTTTTTTACACTTCAGTATAGTAACAAAGTCTAACATAGTGAAAGAATCAGTTCATTAACTTGAGTTTGATAAATGGCATCTAAAAGGTTTGTTTGGGAAAGAAAATGTTAGCTAACTAGTGCTATTTCCCTTAAATTAGCTGAAAATGAGGTCGAATATCCTTTTTTATTTTCACTGTCTATTCAGAACGGACCTTTGGGTCACTCAGAAGGCAGTGAAATGATAAGTTTGTGTCACTTTCTCTTCGCTGATTAGATTTACAGCCAGGTACACAACGTTCCTGTGTGACTCCAGGCGATTCTTCCAGATTTTTTTCCC